ACTTGTGAAACGTCTTCTCATTTATAATTGAATAAAAAAAAGAAAAATATATTTAAAGTTTTATTTAGTTGTTACGGTAATATCCCAAGGTTCATCATTGTTTGCTTATACTTTCTTTGTAACTGCACCAATTATGTTATTGATATTGCTTTGAGTTTCTTCCAGTCTTATTTTATCATTTACAATATCTTTAATCATTTCATTACATGCATTCTTAAAACCGACTGTTTTTTCTAATTTACGTCTATCACTTTCTTTAATTAAATCAAAGTTATAACCTTGTTGAGAATAAAGTGGTTTCTTTATCAATTCCTTGAACGCTTCTGAAAGTGAAGATGAAGAAATTCTTGCCACTTGAATTGGTTTAAATTCTGCTTTCATTGCTTCTTTCTGTTCATTGAACACTGGATCGAATAAAGCAACTTTAAAGAATTTCTTAGCTGAAATTTCAGGTCTCAAATTTGCATATTGACCATCAAACTGATTAACATATTGAGGTAATCCGTTTGGTCCTTCTTCAATAGCGTTTAATTCTTCATTGAAATAAGAATATGGATTATGACGGTATGAATTAATTGGACCATTTTCACCTTCTCCAATGTATTGTTTAACAGCTTTTCCATTTTCATCAAATTGTATAGGATAACGTTCATTATATGCTTTACGTTTAGGATAATCAGACATAGTTAATTTATAACCATTTATGACTTTAATATTACCTTGACCATCAGTAACGAAAACTTCATTTATACCATCAGGTTTTCCATTTGGACCCGTAATGTCTGCTTCGCGTGCTTCCCAATTTGGTCCATGACGTTTGGCATATGCTTGAGCTTCTGGTAATGTTAAAACATTTCTCATTTGTTTAACATCTTTTTGAAGACCGGCAACAATGTGGACTAATTCTTTCATTCCATCGGGAACTTTCATGGTTCTATTATATGCACCCCTTTTGTTTGTCCCTTGTTTTAATGGAACTTGTAAAAGATTTGCTATTTCTGTCATGTTTAATTATAAATAAAAAATAAAAATTAATTATAAAAAGTTAATCAAATTTAACACTTCCTTTATTTAAATCAACTATTATTTTTCCATGTTCACCTAATTGCTGATATTGTGTGTAAAGTTCATTAATGCTCATTGGTAAATTCACTTGATAAAGCATAACGTTCAACTGTTGACGACTAAAACCACTGAAAATGAAAAGGGTGACAGATTTGATTTAATGTTTGTGCTTAATGCTTTGAAATATTGAACAGCCATAAAGAATGAACACTGAATGTGTCGACATTGAGTTAATAACTGATTAAAATATGATTTCTCATTAGTTATTAGTTTTGATTTCACGCATCATCTAGAAAAATGAGTGAATGCAAAAATTCTCTATCAAAATTTGAAATAGAAAGTGTTTCAAATAATTCATCCCGTTGTTTATCAATAATTTTATCCTCTAATCCTTGCTTCTTGATTGTATTATATAATTCTTTATACATTAAAAAGTTTTTTAAATAATCTTCTGCTTCTTCTTGTGATAAATAAATAATTGGAATTTTGATTAAATGCTTTAAAGATTCAAATGTATCATCTGAAGGTGAACCTGAACGGTTGATATAAATTAACACATGTGAATGGGGGAAGTGTTAGCAATAATGATAATTTGTTTTAATATCGTTAATGTTTTACCTTTATTTTGTTTACCAATTGCTGCAGTGATTGAATTTAAGTAACATTCAGAATATGGAATTTTCATTAATTTTTCCTTAGATAGAGCATTTCTATTATCACTCAATGCTTCATTAATCATATCATCTACGTATGTATTATATACTCTGCTAATTCTTCAGAATTTAAATCCATTTAATCAAAAATAAATTTATAATTTTAAACATTTCTATTCATCAATATTTCATCATATGAACTTCTATACTGTGGTGGTGTACCTGTTGGATGATATTTCAAACCTTCATCCGGTGTCCATGTCCAATACGTAGTCCTAGTAAACCAAACCTGAGGAGGATTTGTCACCTTTGAACAGTAAGTGTCATTTTCACCCTGAATGATTGGATAAGCTTTCACTTGTACTGTAACTTGTGAGTTGAAAGTTTCTAATCCATCAAAGAATATACCCGCTCCATCACGTTGAACTGGAATAGTGCATAAGAATGAAGTTTGGTCTTTCCATGTTCTAGCTAATGGCGTGCCATTATCATCATTCAGTGGTCTAGTTAATGAGTCCTCGTATTCTTCCGTGCATTCATTCACTCCATCTAAATCAGAAGCTTGAAGCATACGTGTAAAGAATATGTCACCCACTGTGGTCATCGCTTGATCGGGGAAGTTTCTGGAATCTATAGTGACCTGAAGACCTCGAAGCATTGGATTTTCTAAAACTGTTCTTTGCATTGCATTCTTCGGAAATGTTAACACAACATCTGTAACATTATGAAGAGCGTATGAGAAATCTGAGCTGATACCTTCAGGAGTGATGCAACCTCCATTTAGTGAACGAACGTCAATATGTTGAGCTGGAATCATGAATGGATCTTCCTTACTGAATAAACGTGGTATTGCTTTAACTGATTCTTCAATTAAACCGTATCCTGGTGTAATGCATTTATCCTCTAAAACTTCCATCTTTGTGCATGAAATAATAACGTCATCAACTGTTGCGTCAGCAGATGTAGCGGCTAAGCTTGTAATTAATTTGGCAGGAAGTCCGATTTGTTGGAATTTGCGATCATATTTATAAACATGATTCATAATCTTTTCATAATTTTCATCAGTTATCTTTTCATAAACGTAATTTTGTAAATCAGCAACTCTTAACGGGTCAACCTGACAAAATACTAAAGTATCCCTGAAAACATAATATTTAAGAATGATATCACCAAATGATTTAGGATAATCATCGAACGCCTGAAATGCTAACAAATCATTTACCGGAATAATCATATCAAAAGTGACATCAACTTCTTCATTTGCTTTCTTGAAAACTTCTGAAGGGTCAATATATTTACCACATACTGAGTTATCATATTTTTGAACATTATTATATAACGAATGAACAAACTTTTTAACTTTCCTTTCTGATTTTGGTTTATATGTTGCAAATGCGAAAGATTCACGGGCGCAATCCATCTGAAGATAACCGGCATCACCTCTTTCGGTTTCTACTTCTAATTGTTTAAAGCTTTGATTTGATGATTTGTAACCAACGAATAAACGCATGCATTTAAAAGCGGCATCACATGTGAAAGCTTTATTTGAAACTAGAGTTGCTTTAACTTTGCGTTTAATATATGTGTCACCTAATTGGTTCACATCATGAGCCGGATTTGTAATTCTTAAATGAGTTTGTTTATCATCAAAATATGGAGCATCAGAGTCATAGCATGAACTTTCAAGTTCTCTATAATATCTTCTACCGTCATTCTTTGCGAATATTTCATTTATCTTTTCGAATGAATGAAACACATTTCCATTAATCGGTTTAGTGTTTGGCACTAAATAGTTAGTCGTCATTTATTATAAATAAAAAATCAAATTAAAAGATGAAAATGAATTTTTAATTTTAATGAAATAATCAACTATGGCTGCAGGATTCTTTAAAAATTATGGGATAAAGTAAAAAGAGGAGCGCATAAAGTTTGGGAAACAATGAAGAAAGGAGCAAATTGGATATTTAAGAATAAAGAAGCAATTAGTGACGTTGCTGAATCAATAACACCAAAAGCTGCCCCAATAAGAGAAATTTTAAATAAAGGAGAAAAAGTTTATCAAAGACTACAACCGATACTAAGATAAAAATAATTTTATTTTATTTTTCCACTATCTACCCCTATTTTATTAAGTATTCCTTCAGCTATTCCACCAATTGCGTTACCTGCTTGTGCTCCCATCGCCGGATTACCTGCTTTAGTACCTAATACTCCACCTATGATAGTTCCTGCCGTTTTCGCTACTGGTGCCAAAAAGTTTGCAATGGGTTTAATAATCTTTTGATGAACCCAACCCGCAGCTTTCTTAATTCCTTCCCATAATTTTTTAAAGAATCCTGCCGCCATTTCTGATTTAATATTAATTAAAAAATATATTTCATCACTTATATTCTAATTTTTATTTAATGATAAATGAAACCGATTTTAAAAATAAATGAAAGTGAAAATGTTCAACAAAAAATAAACGTTGTTAAACCAATTACTGAAACAAAAATTTTTTCATCTGTTGAAGAATTTAATGACTATTATGCTAATAATAAAAAATTATTTGAAGAATTGACAACATGTAAATTGAATAAAATGTTTAAAGTTGATGGATTCAAAATTTCAAAAATAAAAGGAGTGGTTAGTTTGAAATCTATTCCTCAATCAAGAATCACCTCATTAATGAAAATAGATGATTTAACAAAAAGAATAGAAGAGATTGAAGAAAGAATAAATCAAATAATTGATATCATAAATTCAAATAATCATTAATTTCAATTTCTTTTTCTCGTTTATGAGGTCTTTGATTATGACTTTATTGATTCCATTCAGGATTTAAACAATGTTTAATTAATCGCGGAATATCTGACATCATCTATATATATATAGCTTCTTTTATTTTTTTTATTACATTTAATGTATGGGTTGAGTGTAAATGTCTTACAATTTTGTATCATTTTAAATCTTGATTTATTCAAAAACGTAAGAATAAAAACCGTAAGAATCATACATTTATTTTATCAATTGTATGAAAATTACTTACAAAATCGTTCAATATTGTATGAATTCTTACGTTTACAAAAAAAGTCACACAACCCTTCATCATATACTACTTTCTCCATTTTATCGACATATTTTGCCAAACTAATTTAAAAGTACACATCCTTGGATGGTGAACAAAGATATTTAAGACCATTCAATTGATAAATATCATTTTTTTTTCTTCGATTTCTCAGAAAAAAATACTGAATTATAAAAGATAAGTTTGATTAACAATAACATGATTACAAACATATTTTATTCTACAACAGATTTGATTAAATACTTTAATTTTTCTTCTCTATACGGAATAACATCGACTATTTTTCTTCGATTCAAGATAAGATCATCGCCATACATTTCTTTCATTTGGTTTGCAAATGTAATGATTGTTCCTTCGATCATTTTCAATTCATCACTTAATGTCTTCAAAGTTGGATGTCTTGCATTGATAGGAGGCACAATTTCGAACTTGAGGAAATCTTTGAGGCTTCTATAAGTATTTTGATATCTTGATATGATATCTTCTGCATTTTCCCAATAAGTTACAGCATCTGAAAGCTTTTGGCTTTCATCAACATTCTGGGAATATTTTGCAGCCATTTCTAGCTTCTGTCCCATAGTAAAACCAAGTTTTGTCCAAATAGCGTTTAATCTATCGAACATTTTCTCTCCTTGCTTAGTATTTGTTATTTCGACAGTCTGATTAAGCAAGAAATTCATATCATTATGAGTTTTTGGACCCGATTTTTCAACTCCGATTATCACGGCTTTAATTCCAGGGTCTACCTCCCTTACCTCCTCATTATTCTTCTGTTCGGTAGTATTAAACTGAGGTATTTCCTTTTCTTTTTCCTCAACTTTGCTCTCAATAACATATGTTTCTGTTGCATCAGGAATTTTGGTTAATGCTTCCGGCAGTTTTGCTTCTGTTACTTCAGAAGCTGCAACAGGATCAACTAAAGAAGAGGTCACCTCTGTAAAATATTTTCTTGGATTAATTTGAGGCCCCATTCTTAATTCTGCCAGTGGATCTGATGAATTCCAGTATTCCTGATATATATCCTGCGGTTTAAATGAAACTCTTTTGGTCTCTTCCGGTAATTTTTGTTTTCTTGTTGGTAATTGAGAGGACATGATACGAATCTTATGGGTTTTGTTAGAGGATACAGTTGCTATTGCTCCTGTTGATAGTACTGAAGGTGTTTTGGCAACTCTTCCACCTAATAATTCAGATCTCATCGTTTCACTCGCAGTTTTTAATCTTTGAGGTAAAGTTTCGAGTAATTCTTTTGTCATTAATTGATTTTGTTCATAACTGAATCTATATGATGGCGGAAATTGTTCAACACTTGCATTAATTTGTTGAATTAGCTTTGCATCGACCTCATGACGTATTTCTTCGGTTTTCATTTGAATTTTAGCATTCTCATTTTCTTTCTTTTCAGGTGGCTTCCATGCAATGAATTCTTTCTTTTGTACGTTGTTTAAATCTTCATATGTAATGATTTTTTCGGTAAGCATTTGATTGAATAAGTCTACTCTGCATTTTCTAACTTCATGAACAAAATATTTCATTCTTTCTCGAAGTTTTTTCTGTGTTTTTTGACAATCAATCATTTTTTCGTGTTTCATAACACAAATTACATTCATTATTGCGTCATTAAACTTTTCTTCCATATGAATTAGAGGTGCTTTATCTTTTAATTGTATATTTCTGATTTCTTTACGAACATCTTGAACAGATTCACTTGTAAACCAATATTGTTGATATGGTTCTATTGTCAATGGTACAGATTTTTCTTTAGATTGTTGAAAAGCTCTCTCATTTCTTTCTTCCATCATTGGTGTAACAATATGAGCATAAACTTGATCAACTGTTTTTGCTGAATCCATTTGTGGAACAAATTTTTTAGCTTTCTCATGCAAAACATACTTGGCTGCCCTTTTGATTGATGTGTTTGGCGAAGGTGGTTGAACGGGTTCTTCTTCTACAGAGATATCGTTTGGAGCTCCGTAAATAATTTTCATAAGCTCTTCACCTCTGGGACTCATATAATGCGTGAACCCATCCTTGGACTGGAAATATGAATCCAGTTGTTGGAAGGGAATCATTATATTTATAAAAAAAAGTATAACGAATTATCGTCAAAATTCCAATATTTCAAAAATTGCTATGACATCCATGATCATAATTAGAATGATTTTGGACCAAATATAAAAAATTGTGCGCGATTCGCACAAATTTCTTCATTGAAAAAATTAAAAATTCTGATAAACTTATTTACAGAAGATTGCTGAATCATATACTATTGTAAAATATTTCCCAAAAATTTATATAAAATTGAACCGGCTTCCGATAGAATTTTAATATTAGCTTTACTTATAGTAAGGCTAGTTTATATTTTGGTCAAATCAAAAAAAGCACGGTACAATTTTTTTTTGATATGGATTACGGCTTGGTTTCATGCATTTACACGCAAATCAATAGACTACAAGCTAATGCAGTTCATATTTATTAGCAATTTTTTAAAGAACCCATCATCTTGAAAGAATTTTTCCTGACGGTGAGAATTTGAATGAAGTTCCAATCTATAACATATTAAATCAGCATATACTATCAATCTGTTGAGATCATCTAATGCATTCTCAGTAGTTAATGCCCTTGAGATTTTCAAAGTATAGATAATGACCGAAGAAGATTACAGGTTTAAGTCCATATATCAATAAAGCATTTTATTAATATTTACTGAATGATTCTTGAAAATCAAATTTGAAATTCCTCTCAATCGCCTTGTTTTTAACTTCTGACCTTTGAAAAATTTACAATTAGTACAATAACAACTATTACTGATATTAGGTGTGCTCAATATTTATGGTTATTCTATCGTCTTTCCATCGTTCTTCAGTTCCATTTTCCAAATAATTATCATAAAAAGAACAACTAATATGCCTGTTATATTTTTACATAAATATTTTGTTAAAATTTATTTTACAAATGGATGTTCCATCTTATTTTATTTTTTATGTCCAAAAAATCGAGTATCCTCGAATGATTTATTCACAATATACACTAACATACATAACAGTTGAATTACAAAAGGTTACACTCGGAATTAAACATTCATCTGAAAAAGTTCGATCAAAAACAGCAACTTTAGACAATGCAAATTGCGGAGTATTTGAATGTGAAGCTTGTTTCAACAATCCCAAGCAAGATAACAAACAAAAACTTATACATATCGTAATTGGCGCCGTACAAGATTCAGAAATTGAGATTGGTAGCATTGATCTCGATTTAGAAGATATAGATAAACATAAATCGAAATTAGCTATCAAAAAGATTCGTTTTGGAAAACATCAAAAAGGAAAATTGTATTACAGAGCTATAGTTCTGCCAATTACATTTTTCCCGCACGGAAAACCAATAGACTTCTTTGCTTCAGTTCCTATCAACAATACAAAGGACGATATCTTAACAAATCTTGCTTTGACACAAACTCTTACTGAAAGTGTCTATGATGAAGTTCACGAAAACTTTGTACAATCAAATGACAACAGGGTTACGTCTCTTAGCAAATTTACTAAAACTTTTGAACCAAAATCTTCAAATTCTTCTTCACAGCAACAACAACCAACACTAGCAAGAGACACTCAACGCATATCAAGTATTAAGAAACTTACCAAGCATATGGTGCGTCCAGATGAAGGAGAAGAAGAAATAAATCCAGAAAATGTTCAATCAGCAGAAAAAGTTGTAGAAATCGACCATTCGCAAGAAGAATTGAAAGAAATGATGAAACATTCCAAGAAAAAGCTTGTTTCTGCAATGGTTGCGCAATTTACAGCAAAATTCAGTTTAATTGTATTTCAGAAGATTGTTTGCGCAGATTTATTCACAGAAGATATTTCTCAAGACCTCATTGCACCTGTTCTTGAGTTTAATTTACTTTCTGCTCCAAAAATTTCATCCGACCAATTGATTTATGCTTTGATGCCACTTTTCTCTGCAATTCACATTACCCTTAAGCGTAGATCCGAAGTTGTTCCTTTATTTTCACTTTTATCTTCATTAATCAATTTTGGCATTTTATTAACTTCAGAAGCTGAATATTATACTACTGCTCATGTTCCTGTCATGGCCAGCCTTGACGGACACATTTCTATTTTGATTTCACAGCTTTCCTGTTTCTTATACGGTCCATTAGTTTCTTCCATGACGAATAACCCTTTGGAAGCTATGACAAGTCAATCAGCAACAGATCTATCGAATATTCTTCAACAATTTTTCACTGTTGCGAAGACTTACGTCAAATCAAAGTATATAATGAAGCTTCTCATCGATAGAACATGTTCTTTGACCGATGAAATTGTTTCTAACTGTTTGATACAGTTCTCGCAGGTATTTACTGAGGAACAATGTGCAAATTTGAAGAGAAAAATTGAAAAACTCAAAGAATACTTCGCATACAACGTCAAAGAGATTCCTGTTAACTTCCCTCACATGCAGCAGATCATTTCTAAGAGAAATAGGAACGTACAACGCGTCGAATCCGCAAAAGATGAAGATGTCATTTTCTCATTTGACGAACTTCGACGTATTGCTATTGATGAGGAAGGAAAACCTTCTACACAAGCAAAATAACTAATTTATAAGTATAAAATATTTCTATTTGTTTTTATCAATTTCATAATTTTTTAATTTCTCATTTACAGACTTATTACAAGATAATATTTGACTTATTTGATATAATATCTTATAAATATTAAACAATTACCCTACAAAAGTTGATTTTTTGATGTCATTCAATCTGAATTTTTACAAAAATGAAGACTTTCTTCATATACAACTTGATCTTTTACATCCCTTATTCAATTTCATTCTATATCCTAATAAGATATAGCGTTATCTTATTTCTCATCGTTCAAGCAAAAAAATTAAAAGTAAATTTGAATAATTCAATCTATCACAATAAAGTTTTGCGTATCCAAGTGGCTTACTTTTGAATTCAATTCAGATTTTACAACACACAATTTGAGCAATTTTTTAAGGCTCTCTTCAAAATCATTAGTTATAGTTATCATATCTACAACATTTTTTCTCAGACAATACCTAATTTTCTAAACCGACACTTTTTGAAAAATCAATCTTATTATTTTTTGAATACTTTCAAAAATGCGAAGTTTTCCTCTTCCAAAGCGAGGGAAAAAATTATCAATAGAAGACAAGAAACTCAAAAACTTGAAGTCAATGGGACTTCCATGGATAACTATCCAAACAACATCGTTCAGATCAAGCCCACAAACGCCAGAAAAAGGAAATGAAAGATTCGACATCAGGGAACATAACGATAAGAAACTCAGGCGCCAATCAAATTCAGCTCCTGTAACTCCACAAGCAATGTTCAGGCCATTTTCTTCATCAACAGTTACATTTGATAGCGAAGAAATGCAAATTATAGAAAATAGAGATGATTATCGTAAACACTCAGCATTAAGAAAATCTCCATCCAAATTACAACAACTTCAACTCCAAATTATTGAAAAAGAGAAAGAAAAAGAAAGATTAAGACAAGAAAATCAACAAAAGGAAGAACAACCTCAAATCCCCGAAGTTGATTCTTTCATATCCATCAAATTTGATCAAGAGGAATCATATCTTAAAGATGTTCCACAAGAATACGACGATCAAAAGAAACAAAACGAACCTGTATATCAATCCGATGATAATACAATCAAAGATTTACGAATTAGTGTATTAAAATACTGTAATAGTCTCAAAAGTACTATTGATGACAAAAATGTTCAAGAGATTAAAGGCACAATCAATCAAACTCGTTATGGAACCGAGATTCGAATTAATCCATCACGAGGTCGTAAACGAGTTCAACAAGCTATTGTTGATCACTCAATCCAAGATGATTCATTAGACATCTTCTCACATGAACGTATTTTATCATCAGAACAGCTTGAAGAAGAGAAAGAAATCCGTAAAAATATTGTTTGCACAACATGTGGTTCTAATTTGAAAACATTTATTCAACAAAACGACATAATTCCACCATCATTCTTAGATGATGTTGATATCAAGATAACACAACCACAATTTAACACAATTCAGAGAAATCCATTGAAAATCCCATTTCCTCAAAAGAATTATTCTTATAATCTATGATTTATTAGATTTTCTTATTTTTTATTTTTTTGTTTGTAAATATATTGTTATTTCATATGATATTTTTAAACTTTTTTTTAAATATCAAATTTTGTCAAAATTTTTAAAAAGCGACACTTTTTTTATTTATTGTTTAGATTTTATGTATTTCATGTGATTAAAAATTAATCACATGAATTAATTACATAAATCTAAACAATAACAAGCTTATGTAATATATTTAAATCATCTAAATTCTATTTTAATCAGATTTTATTTTATTTTTTTCAAAAGAATCAACGATGTATTCATTCAAACAAAGTGAATGGTATGATGTTTATTATTCACAACCAGATCCATCTCCTGTTTACACTGAAAGAAAGCTTTACGAGAATTTGCAAGGAAAAGTTTACATCAAAAACGTTCAATTCTACGAAATTGGTGACAAAGGTGTTATTAAATTAAACTCAGCAGATCTCCAATCATTAATTTCAACAAGTTCATTTGAAAATTCAACAAATTCAGGAAACGGTGGATCAATATATCGGACAAGGTCAATCTGCTATCCAAACAGTTTGTAGTGTTGGATCTAAATCAAATAATAGAGTACCATTTTCATATTTAACAGTATCAAATTCAGACAGTATCAACAAATTTTCAGAGACATCTGTTTTTTACAGCAACAGAGGAGAAAAAATCGGAGATACTACAATATATTTAGGATCAGGCAAAGTTTCATTTTATCAAAACAATATTACAAATAACCATGCTGATGCTAATTCAGCATTATGGATATATGAATCTTCATCAGCAAATGTCAGTTTTTCACTTTTTGACAAAAATAATGCAAATAATAGAATATGTGGCTCAGATGCATCTATTGAATATAAAAATAGTATTTTTACAAACAATAAAATTATAAGACAAGATGGATATCCAGGAATGTTCACAGTAGGATCAGGTTATTCATTGACATTCGATAATTGTTATTTTTCAGGAAATAATCAAGGTTCAGATTCATTATTTGGAACGAATTCAAATACAGATTCTATTATAATTACAAAATCATATATATTAAATAACTCAACACTTCATTCAGGAAAAGGTAGATTTACATACGAAAACACAACAGTGAATATAAAAATAAATTTTTACTCAACTGAATTATGCCCAAGTCAATCTACTGAAATAAATATTATTTTTAATCCAGAATCAGTGAAAGTAAGATATAGGGTGTCCAAAGGTGCGTTTAGCACAGCGCTCTATATGAGACTATTAAAGGAGATATATGCTGATTATAAATATATAATAAAAAATATGAATATATGTATATGATGAGTATGTTGTATTTTGGCGCCATGCCGGGATATAAAATGAATTTTGAGACAAGAGGCGGTTTCGCGGGAAATTTTGGCGGGATTTTTTTCATTTTTTTAATGAATCATAAAGAAAACATCCTCGCTCTTGCAAAAAAATGCAAAGACTGTAAAAAAATCTACGAGACATTGGTAAAATGCTTCTGTATGGATGCTCCTAGCTATTCCACTGTAACGTATCATGTTAGGATGTATCACTTCATGAACAAAAAGGCGCCCATCATAAAAATTGACAAAAAATCGCCGGATCAAAGAAAAATCAAAGCAATTTTTCAAGCGCTAGATGAAGACCCAAGAGCATCACTCAGAAGGATAGAGGAGATGACAAAGATACCACGTACAACAGTCAGTTATTATCTGCACAATTATTTGAACTACAAACTAGCGTATACACGTTGGGTTCCGCACAACCTTAATTCAGTTCAAAAAAAATCTAGAGTCCAATCTTCGAAAGAGCTCCTCTCTATATTGGGTGCGTATCAATCCAAGAAGTTTCGCTTTTTAGTAACAGGGGACGAGTCTTGGTTTCAATATGCAACAGAAGCCAAAATCATGTGGATCCCGAAGGATGAAAATCCGCAAACATTCCCGAAGAAAAAAATTGACACACCAATGATAATGTTGTCGGTTTTTTGGGGCGTGAATGGCATCATCGCAATTGATATTCTTCAAAAACCTAATACGATGAATGCTCAGTATCTAATTGACAATGTTCTTACTCAAATTATCAATTCTGATGAGTTTGAGAAATCCAAACAACAAAAACAAAAGTTTGCAATTCATTTTGATAATTCAAGAGATCACAAAAGTCATAAGTTAATGAATTACTTGGTGGAAAACAATGTCAAAGTTGTTCCAAACCCAATTTATTCACCTGATATTGCACCCTCTGACTTTTATTTATTCGGCACGCTAAAAAAGAGAGCTGAAGGACGCGAATTCGCGAGTCCAGATGATCTTGAAAATTTTGTAAGAGAGCAATTTGAGCAATTTTCTCATGATGATTTAAAGCGTGTCTTTCAAGCCTGGATCGATCGCTGCGAACGCGTGATTGAATCCAATGGTGATTATATTTAAATAAACTTTATATATATGTAACTTGTTTATTTCTATTCGCAGTATTCAGGTTTGTGCTAAACACACCTTTGGACACCCTATATAAATCAAAAAATTTCTGCTGTCTTGCTGAGATATTTTTATGTATATAAAAGTATTAAATAATATTAAATAATCTTTTACAATCAATTAAATATTGTTATCATTATTTGAAACTAGAGGAACAGAACTTATTAATGGAATCGATCTCTTCTTGTTCCTTATGCATAATATCGTTATTATCATAGCTATCACAACTATTATGAAAATCGATGATGAAACAGAAGCAATTATTATTATCTTCCTCTTCTTATCATTTTGATTGTCTTGATCTGTGTTACATATCTCAGATTTTATCAAATCTATTCCTGATATTTTTAACTGTTTGTTGTGTCTTGATACTTTTATTTGTTTTAATTTATTGCATCCTACGAATATATCATCATTTGTTATTATATTTGTTCCACAATATACGAAGTCAGATAACATTATATCATTGTAGAAAGCGAACTGCTGTATATTTGATATGTTTGCTGCTATTAATACATTTCTTAGATTTTCACAATTTGCGAAAGCCATCTTTTCTATTGATACATTATTGACATTTATTGATATATTTTTCAATCCACTGTTGAAGAATGCTTTGTATCCTATTACGGATACATTCATATTGTAATTTTTCAAATCTTTTGTTCCTTCGAATGCACTCTGTGGTATTACCTTTATTTGATTTTCATCTAATTTGAAATTTATTAATGATGAACAGTTTGCGAAACAGAATATATCAATTCTTTTTATCAATGGTATAACATCTCTTAAGTTCTTACATTCATAGAACGAATATCAGCATTTGAAACGAAATTTGTTATTCCAGATCTTATGAAACAGAACTGATCTAATAACAAAATTTTTGAATCCGTTTTTATATTTGCAATATTTAGAGAATTTGAATTTTGAAATGCATATTTTCCTATCTTATTTATATTCTTTGCTTGTATATTTATTGTGTTTATCATCGAACAATTTGTGAATGAATAATCAGGAATCTCAATTATATCATCAGATAATTTTATATCTAATATTTTCAAACGATCACAATTTGCGAATGATAAATAAGAAATCTTTGATATTGTTGATTCACATATTAATTCTTTGAGACCACATCCACAGAAACATTTTTCTTCGAATTGTACAGTTGGACAAGATATGTTAATTAAATCTATATTTTGACAACCGAAGAAACAAGATTTCCTGAATATGACTAACTTTGATGAAACACAGATGAAATATTTCAAATTCTTGCATTGATAGAAAGCGTTCTCGTCAACATTTCTGATCATTCCTCCGAAATCGAAATATTCTAATGATGTGCATCCACTGAAACAATTCTTTGGAATTTCGAGATATTTCATTTTGTATATTTTTATAGTCTTCAATGATTTGCAATCTAAGAAACTGCTTTCTTCCAAAATGAGATTATCAGATGACAAAACGATCGATTTTATACTTTGACAACTATTGAACGATTTGAATCCTACATATGTTATCTCTCCTTCGAAATCGAAATTTGACAAGTTGAAACATCCATCGAAACAGTTATTTTCTATCTGAATTTCTTTTGAAGAAACTTTTACATCGAATAAATAATTGCATTGGAAGAAACAAAACTTCGGCAAAACTATGTTTTCGTTTTGTTTGTCGATGTATACTCTCGAAACTTTGCAGTTATAAAACGAGTATTCATTTATCTCTGTTATTATTCCTAATATCAAATCTGCTAGTTTCTTACAATTTTCGAAACAATGAGAACCAATCTTCACGAAATCGGAAGGACAATGTAATGAAAATAGATTGTAACAATCTTTGAAACAGTTGTCACCTATTTCGAAATCTTTAGTTGGATTTATATATATTTGTTTTACATTAGAACAATTCTTGAAAACGTTGTTTGAAAGAGATGAAAATATTCCAGAAATATTGACAATCGAAAGATTTATACAATTTTCGAATAAACTGATTGGAACATCTATCTCATCATCTGTTGATATATTTAATTCTTTGATTGATGAATTTGTGAATGAATATTGATCGAAATTAATGAAAACACCGAATTTCGTTTCATTCAATTTGTAACAATTCATGAAACAACTCTTTCCAACTGATATTTGTTCGCAGTTAATAAACAATGTTTTCAAATTAGAACAATCTTGGAAACAACTATCTCCGATACTAACGATATCTGTTGAATTAATGATCAGTTTCTCCAAATTATAACATTCTCTGAATGAGTGAGATTTTATTTCTTTCACATTGTTCTTGAACGCGACGTGGTTTAAGTGGTGACAACCATAGAACAAACCTTCTGGGATGACAACATCATCGATGTTGATGAATACTTGTGAGATCGCACAATAACTGAATGCGTAATCTTGAACACGAACAATAGGTCCAATAACTAAATCGTGAAGATTCTCACATCCATCGAAACAATTGTTTTCTAAGTCCATAGATACTGCGTGAATTCGCAATGTCTCAAGATTGACACAATGTTTGAATGCTGATTTTCCGATCTTGAAAAATTCTCTCTCTGGTGAATAAATTGTCAATGTTTTCAAATTGATGCAATACCTGAATGAGAAACTTCCGATCTCTGTTACATTATTGAAATTGACATTCGAAAGAGAAGAACATCCTTCGAACAAACCTTCTGGAATTGCGATGTTATCGATATCAATTGATACATTAACTATTTTCGTATCTGCAAATGAATATTTTCCAACTGAAATAACTCTTCCAATATTGAATTCTTCTAAATTTGTACAACCATTGAAACAAGAATCTCCAATTGATATCGTCTCTGATTCACAATCTAATCGAACTAAATTCCAACATCCGTTGAATGAATATTGTCCAATCTTGAAATTATCAACAGATGTTTTTAGAATCAATTCAGGAAGATTCCAACAGTTCTTGAATGCGAACTGTTGTATTTCTCTCACACTTCCTAATATAATGATTTTTGTTAATGATAAACAGTTCTCGAATGTTGATTCATATATTGTCATATTTTCATCTTTGAACAAAACTTGAGAAATTTCAGTGTTTCTGAATGCAAATTTTCCACAATTCGTGACTGATCCGATGACAATGTCATATAATGTGACACATCCATCGAAACAGTAATCTCCGACTTCTGTAACTGAACACTGTGTACGGAATCTTCTCATTTTTCGGCATCCTTCAAAAGCGTTATTTCCTAAAATCAATTTATCATTGTTATTCGTCTGAACAATGAGTTCTTCGATTAACAAACAGTTTCTGAACGCTTTTGATTGTATTTCTGAAACATTCTTTGAAAATAAAATTGAATTTAACTTATTACAGTTTTCAAACATTGATTCAGGGATTATTTCAATCATCAAATATACTTGTGATATACCAGTATTTGCAAATGAATAAGGAGCTGCTTAAACAATTGATCCGATAATAAAATCAGATAATTTAGAACAACCATTGAAAGCATTGGAATCTACAATAACTGTATTGGTTATAGCATGGAAGATCTGTAGATTTGAACATCCGTAAAAAGCTGATTCTCCGATATGGAAATTTTCTTGTAAAGCTTTGTCAATGACGATGTAACTAAGATTTGAACAGCCTTTGAATGCGTTAGATTGTATTTCTTTGACTGTTCCTCCAAAACTGACAGTAAATAATGAAGGACAATTATTAAAAACGGATTCTGCAAGAACGATATCGTATCCTTTGAATAAAGCTTGAGTAACTCAGAATTCGCGAAAACTCCCTCTTCATAGCTTATAATGGCTCCGATTATAAAATCTTGTAAAATTGTGCAGCCGTTGAAGGCATTCTTTCCGATTGTAACATTTTCGGAAAGTGCTGTAAAGGTAAAGAGGTTGCTGCAACCATAAAACGCTGATTCACCGATCTGAAACGTTCTTTCTGGTGTTTCAACTACAACTTTCTCGAGAAAGACACAGTTTTTAAATGTGAAAGCAGGTATAGAGGATAATGATCCTGGAAAATCGACTAATTTCAAATTTGAACAATCTTCAAAGACATTTGTGCCCAATGATACTATGTTCGAGCTAAATGAAATAGATTCTAACAAAGTGCAGCTATGGAATGCAAAATTAGAGATATTGATTGAATGATCAATTGAAACAGTTTGCAAATTCGAGAAATTTTCGAATGTATGTTCATCAATTGTACTAACATCTCCAGTGATCACTATTTTGTTGGTGTCAGCTTGATGTTCTGAAACTTGATCTCGAATGACAACGCCATTCCCGTAAACTGTTAATGTTCCATTATCAAATGTGACATTAGAAGTTTCAAGGTGAACAGTTCTATCAAGTTCTGCCTTTATTCTCCATAAAGTTAGCGAATTCAGAAGCATTTTTATGCAGCTCGTACTTTCGATTTCAAAACATATTGGAAGTTGCTCATCGCTAATTTAGATTTTTCTATTGAAAATACTAGATTTCGGTATTATTTGATATTTGATATTGATGACAGATTGAGTTTCTTTCAAATATATATGATATTTTGATATATCAAAGGAACTTTCCTAGTGATCTGATATACAAACTATCATTGGGTATTTCTATATAAAAATATACGGATTACTAAGATTGATACCATTACTTTATATATTGATGGCAAATACGCAGCCATATCATTTCTTGCGAGAACTGGACATTATAAACATATAACATAAGCGAATTATTATAAATTTGATAAGTAGTATATGAGTGCGGGTTGTGTGACTATTTATGTAATCGTAAGAATTCTCACATAATTGAATGATTTTTGAACATACTTCTGAATAGCAGATTTTAAAAATTTATGAATAATTTATAAAAAGTTTTTATTCCTACAATTCCTATATTACCATTAATAAAAAGAATATATTTTTGCATAGATTCCAAATATGGTGTCAATTTTTTATTTAATATAAAATGTATGGAAAAAGAATAATATCTGATTTTGAACATTATTTGATTGATTTACTAATTGATCCACAAAGCTGTTGTAAAATTAATTTTGAATTTAAAATTAAAGGAACCGTAAATTTTGTATTTATTTATCACTTAAAAGAATATGACCGATATCATAATTTGATATATGAAACTAATATAATATTTGAAGATAACAAACTTACAAGCTTCGAACATGAAAATGATATAATATTCGAAGATGAAAAAAAGAAAGAGATTGAAAAGCAATTCAATGAATGCCTTTTAAATACATATGCGCACATTATAAGACATAAAATGAAATTAATTCCTTATTAATCAAAAATATTTTTTATCTTTTATTTTATAATAAATGAGTATAACAACTAATTCATTGAAATCTTTAAAGTTCACTAATTCAGAATTAGAAAATATTTTAGAAAATTTTGGAGACGGTTCTTATCCAACATATATGCAGAATGTGAAAGAGTTTTCCAGATTGTTGAATGAATTTAAATATAACGGACCAATTACTAAAAAGGCTATAATGGGATATTTATATCCCAAAAAAGTTGAAAAACAGGAGAATATTCCTCTTTATGGTCCAGAGGACCTGGGCTCAGAGAGCCTTGAAACACCTCCTGAATATTTTGAAGAAAAAATTAAACAAGATGAATATTATAACGATGAGATTGAGAAATTGGAACAATTAAGAAATGAAATAGATGAAAAAATTAAAGAATTAAGAAATGCTGAAAATGAAGTAGAGGATTTAATGAATATCCCAGCTTCAGAATCAGAAGTTCAAAAATCACATGAGGAAAGATATAAAAATTACTTTTTGGAATCAACACAAAATTTATTAGATGGTGATATTGACGAAACACTTTCAGAAGAAGGCACAAAATTTATTCATAAACATAAGTTACAATTTATTGACGATGGAGATTATCCATGTATATTACTTTCACCTCCTCTTGATTCTGAAAAATTCAAAAAAGCTCTTAAAAACGTGACATATGCAACTAATACGATTAAGAAAGAAGATCATGATATTTACACAAATTATTATTTAAATAAATGTACAGGTGTTGATAAAGTTTTTGATTTGTTAGATAAAATATCAAAAGAAACAATTGGTACATATAAAATTTTATGCGATTGTGGTTTCATTATTGAAGATACCAATAATGTTTCATATGAAAGAACAGCTCCGAAGGAGGACGAAGTGGAAAGGTCTATACCATTCGTTATTAAGAACATAAAAGATATGAAAACTTATAAACATTATATTTATTCATTTATTTCAGAAAAAATGGAAGCAACCCATAAAACATCATCTCATCATTTCATAGCTATTCATACATTCCTTTTCAAAGTTGTGAAATTAAATAAGACAGGAATTAGATTTAATGTATCAGGGTACGCATTCTTGAGTAAATTAAAATGTATTCGTCACGTCGCAGATGATAAAAATTTGTGTGTTCTTAATTCATTTTATGGACTTTAGCCCTGGGCACTTTGTGCCTTGGACTTTAAAAAATAAACTTTATTTTTATTTTTTAATTTTTATTCTTACATAAATGAACAAAAATGGAACAGCTAAAATGAATGATAATCAAATAAGAGCCGAAGGTAGAAGGTTATTTAAACGCTTCTATAATATTCCCGATGGTGTTAATCCTAAAACTCGTAGAAGTTATTTAAATGAAGCCATAGATGTATATGAAGGATTTGACATTTCATCAGAAAGTGAGAGGTTAGCACGAATGTTAAACGTTAATATTGATTTTTATTATTGTGACCCTCAACCAGAAGACGTAGACATTAACAAGGTAGACTTTCCATTAGTGGAATCAATAATGATAGATCCAGAATTTGAAACAGTAAATATTTTATTAACACAGAGTCCATGTGGAAAACTTCACGCTGACAGAATAACAAACGTTGAAGCACTCACCGGCTATAGAGTTTGCTCCTTTTGCAAAGAAGAAGTATATTCTATCCGTGATGATCCAGAAAGGAAAAACCAAAGAAGATTTTTAAAACATTGTGAGAAATGTAAAGAAAATAATGGAAGATTAATTCAAGACGTTCAATTGCAAAACACACAACAACCATATGCACCACATATCACGAAACAGAAGATATATCAGTGGTTATTAGCTCATAATTTGCAGGAATATTATCAACCGACAAGATATTATATTACTTTTGACTTCGAAACATTAGAGACTAAAGAAGAACTTCTACTTTCTGAATGTGCAACTTTGAACGCTTACTTAAAACCATTTATGGTATCATCAATGGTTAAATTAAACGATAAAACATATACGAGGAATTTTTGCTTAACATCAAGTGATTCGTTCATCTCTGATTGGATTGAATTTTTATTTTCAACCTGTTCATTAGTTGCTAAATCAAATATTGAACAATATGAAGAATTAATGAAGCCGCAAACGGCGGGGACTTTGTCCCATACATTAAATGAGAAACAGAAGGAAGCATTTAAAGAACTTCTAGATGAGGAATTCAATAAAGTGAATATCATAGGTTTTAATTCGGGAAAGTTTGATTTAAATTTAATTCTTCGTGATTTAAATACTGCAAAATGGAAGATAAAATCAATGCTGGGTTCATCTTCACAATTTAAGCAAATCATTGTAAAGAAAACAAACGTTCCATATGAATTGAGATTTATTGACATCAGAAATTATATAGCGGGTGGGACATTAGACCAATTCACTCAAGATTTCGGAAACAATAAAACACGTGTTAAATCCTTTTTCCCTTATCAATTCATCACATGGGAAAATTACGAAGAAGAATTATATAAAAAGGAACCATTCACTCAAGATTCATTTTATTCAGCATTAACACAAGAAACAATATCCGATTCAGATTATCAAATATATCTCAATGATGCTAAAAATTTTGAGAATAGATTAGAATATTTTATTCATTATTGCAATAAAGATGTTGAAATTATGATTGACCCAATCGATAAAATTATTGAAGAAACATTTGTTTATAAAATTGACATGCTCCATAATCTTTCATTATCATCTAATGCATCAATGATTCGTTACGCTTTAGCATATAAGAACTTCAATCCTAATGAAACATATCCAGAAGAAGAAAATGTGGAATCAAGTTTTGAATTAACGAAAAAGTATTGGAAATATAAAATTGAATCATATAAGAAACAAGATGAAAAAGCAGAAAGGGATACTAAAAATAATGTTTCAATGGATGATTTTCAATACTATCACGATTTAATCCTTTCATCTAAATGCAAAATGTGTGGTAAAGCTTTCACATATGCAAATAAACCAACATTGGATAGAATCGATAATGAAAAACCACATACTAAAGAAAATTGTCAGTTAATGTGTTGTTATTGCAATGTCGTGAAATCAAATAAAGATGAAGAAGTTCAACGTTTAAGAATTAATTTAAGAAATTACGCATTAAAAAATAATTTACCAATGACTTTAGATTCAGTGGAAGCGTATCACATCCTCCGTAATGGAATTACTGGTGGTCTATCAAATGTTCAACATAGAGTAAATCTTAAAGGAATCACTCACATTAATAAACTTTCATATAATCCAGAAACTAAAACTGTATCAAATGAGGACACCACCAACATCATGACTCATTTCGTTGGTGTTGATTTTAATTCATTATATCCTTCATCATTTTCATCAAATCCTCATGATTTCATTCAATACACCGATCATAGAATGTATATGCCGGGAAGATTGAATGGAGTTATCATTTGTGATACAGCAACAAAGAAAGCAAAAGCACTGGGAATAATTAAGAAGAAAAATAATTTATTCGTGGCTGAAGTAAAGGGTCACATTGATGAAAAATACATTAATGATTACATAAACTTTTTACCGATAATAAGAAACTTAGATATTATCACAGATGAAAAAACAATTGGCAGTTTTATGTATAATTACATGAAATCAAACAATCTACCAGTTGACCAGAAACAGAGAAAATTAACTCAGTTAGCATCAACACACAACCAATATCAACCATTTTCTTCTTATTATCTATGGTATCTAATCGACAGATTTCATTTTATCATTGATGACATTCAATCAATTTTAACATTTACGAAAAACACTTGTTTTAATGAATTTGCGAACAAATTTATGAACGAAAGACAAAAGGCTGAATTAGAAGGAAATAAAGGAAAAAGTTTATTTTGCAAGATTTCGCTTAATGGATCATATGGTTACGATGCAATGAATACACAAAATTACGCAAAGACTAAAATAATGAATGCACAGAAGTCACGCGTTGCATGTATGTCAAATAAGTTTAAAAACATAAGAGAAATAGGTGAGGATACATATCAACTGATGCTTAAAGATAGATTTTATAGATGTGAAACATGTTTACAAGAGGCATTCTTCACTTTAGATAATGCTAAATACTGGTATTTGGTTTTCATTTATGATTTTATGTATAAATGCATGAATCTTAATCGTTTTCATTTCATTGAAGGTGATACTGATTCATCTTATTGGGCAATCGCTGGCGACCCAAATCTTCCTAACACTCAAGCATTTCAAGCAATTGTTACTGATAAACAATTTTATGATAAAAACATTTTCAAATTCGCACCATTTGATTTCTTCTGTTTTGATGAGAAATTTAAACCTAAATTAAAGAATAAAGCTGAAGAAAAAGCACATGAGAAGAAGTTATTGGGTTTAGCAATTGAGAAACAAGGTGATAACATGGTTGCTTTATGTCCTAAGTGTTATACATCATTCAACGGAATGATTGGTGAAGACTCCTTCAAAAAGATTGCACAAAAAATGAAAGGTGTTAGTTTAAGACAAAATAAGCAATTAACACCTAAAAATTATTTGGATATAATAAATGACAAAGTGATATTTGATGGTCAAAATATTAATTTACAACTTAAAAATGGGTCAATGACTCGCTTAACAATTGGTAAGACTGCATTAACAGGAGCACACACTAAAGCTGTATGTTGTGAAAATGGATGTTGTATGCCATTTATTTAATGAAATGCCATAGAAGAGACAAAGAGGTGGGCACCCTTAAACATTGATTTTATTTTTATATAAATGAATAGCGTAGATTTAAAAAATTTAATTGATGATTTAGTATTTAATCAAAATTTTCTTAATTATTATGAATTAAAAGCATATCTTCAAAAATATAATAACAATATAACGGGTGATGATATGGAATATTATTATCCATATTATAAAAATGAAATTTTGAAAATATCATAAAAATAATTTCTGAAATTAAAGACAAATTAAAAATAATGAATATTCAAAGGGAAAAAGTAAATCACAACTTAAACAGTTGAAAGATTTCAAAAATAAAGTATTAACAGAAGAAGATATTGATGAATTATATAAATTATATAATCCCGAGCCACAAAAACCAAAGGAACAAAAACCAAAAGGTGCAAAACACCCAGGTTCAGCAGCTCATAAATGATGCACAAGCTTTATTTATGATTCATTAGTTAAACCACATTCAGCCCGACTTTTTAAATGAAGATCAACTTTTGGAATTCATCCTTCAACATAAACTCGAAGTGGGGAAGTATATCAAACCTTTATATACAGCATATTTAAAACAAATGAATAGAATACATCCAGAATTAATGAAGGAAGGAATGAAATCCAAAATCAAAGCAGATAAAATTAAACCATTGCAACACCAAAACCTCCAACAACAGTACCTCCTCCTCCTTCAGTTAATCCTTCATCATTCACTTATTATATCCATTTCAAACATTTAAGAAGCAAAAAGATTTTAAAAAGGATTTCAAGATATTAAATAAACAATTGACCCGAAAATTCAACCGTTAAAGGAAAAATTTAGTCGCCCTTCATTTGCCGCCACCATATCCATTTCATACGAAATCGATCATCTGGAATATTCAAAAGGAAACGTTACTTATTTATTTGCCATTAACATTAACACTAGATATTTATATTGCATTCCGGTGAAAGGGAAAACAGAACAGGAAACAAGAAGAGCTATTCAATACTTACTAGATCATGAAAGAGTAGATAATATCAGGGTGATGGTGATAAAGGATTTCAGGCAGCTATGACTCATTATTTCCCACAAATTAATTTTACTTCTCATCCTCTCCATATACGTTTCATAATAAAATAGTTGATGCGGTAATGAGAACTCTTAGAGATGCGTAGGGGGTTACGGGTCAGATATACTGGATGGGAAATCATGACTCCATCATACAGCAGTTAGTATATTATTACAATAATACATGGCATAGAACTATTAACATGAAACCAGTGGAAATGAAAAATGATATTTCAAAAGAATGGGAATATATTAGAAAGCAAATGGAAAGGTTGAATGATGTTAAACGTGAACAAATTAATTCGGGGTTCATGAATTTTAAACAAGGGATAAAGTTTTGATTCATCTCGATTATGGAAAAACTGATAAATCAATGACAAAAAGAAGACGAAGATTTGACACAATAGCTGAATTTGTTAGATATATTAACGGCAATGTATTAGTTGAAGTTGACAATAAATTAATAGAAATTCCGATTTATTTTATTACTCCATTATATTTAAATAATATTTAATTTTTTTATTTCGTAAGAAATGAGTGACAACAAAGCAGTCAAGAGTCCAGACGATGAATATAAAAAGAAACTAAACAGAATTAAATCAAAAATATGTTATTACAAAAAGAAGCCGCAATGTGGTGAGGTTGAAAACGATAAAGAAATAATCGAAAAATTAGAAACTTACCGTTCAATCATTAAACTGAGTGAAGCAAAAATAAAAGAATTTAATAGAATAAATAAATTGGTTGGAAGAGATGAATTTAATAAAGATGAATTTTTAAACTCTATCCAAATTTAATTTTTATTCCTCTTCGACAACATCTCTCTTTCCATCATTACTGCATAACCGCATTTTCTCAGTTTAAGTGGTTTGTTATTTTTAGCAAGTTCTCGCATCATTTTTATCATTTCCTCCCTTGTTATGATTCGTGGTAAATTTTGAGCTTGTGGGGTATTCATTTATGATAAAAATAAAAATTTGTTATCACTTATTTTATCGTTAATGTTTTTAGGTTATTCAATAATTAATTATTTTTGAAGAACTGAAGGGGTCACCAGGTCACCAGGTAATTTAACTTCTCTGAAAAAATGAGACAACATGACATTTTGACAACATCACGGGTTATTCAATAATTAATTATTTTTATTTTTTCTAACTTTTTATTTTGTATGTAAGAACAGTAATGTCAGTCGAAGCAAAAACATTCACTAACAAATCTAATGGCGAAACATTCACAAAAGGCACTTATAACGGTATTGAAGTCTTACGTAGAGACAAGGATGGTTATATAAATGCAACAAAGATGGCAAGAGAAGCAGGAAAGTTAAACCATTTAAACAGATTTCTCAATAGTGCTAAAATGCAGGAAATTCTTGAGTTTTGGTTGAAAGAATATGGTCGAGCCAAAAGTGGCTCGACCTCAAAACAAGCATTTTATGAGCTTACAAAGGGTGTTATGAATGAATTCAAAGGTATTTACATACATCCTGACCTCGTTCATTTTGTTGCTGAATGGTGCTCTGTAAAGTATGCATTTTATGTCAAAGATATTATGGATTCCATAGACAAGAAAGTTCATGAGAAATTAGATGAAGAAGAACTTGAAGATACAGTAGAGAATGCTAAACCTTTGTTTGAAGAAGAAGTTGGAAAAATGTGCGAAAAACAATTAGAACATGAACGTGAGTTATGTTATGGTTATATAGATTCTCCATACGAACTAGACCAATGGGAACAAGAAAATTTAAAGAGAGAATTTAGAGAATATGAACTCGCTAAGATAGCATTAGAAGCTGCAGAAAAGAAGTTAAAAGCTTGGGGTTGTTTTGTACAAAAATATTGTGAGTAAATGTTTTCAGGTTATTCAATAATGACTTATTTTTGAAGAACAGAGGGTGTCACCAGGTCACCATGTGTCACCAGGTCATTTAACTTCTTTTAAAAAATGAGACAACATGACATTTTGACAACAACACAGGAGGAAGGCAGTTATGAATTATTTTTGAAGAACTGAAGGTGTCACCAGGTCACCAGGTAATTTAACTCATGACATTTTGACAACAACACGGGTTATTCAATAATGACTTATTTTTGAAGAACAGAGGGTGTCACCAGGTCACCATGTGTCACCAGGTCATTTAACTTCTTTTAAAAAATGAGACAACATGACATTTTGACAACAACACAGGAGGAAGGCAGTTATGAATTATTTTTGAAGAACTGAAGGTGTCACCAGGTCACCAGGTAATTTAACTCATGACATTTTGACAACAACACGGGTTATTCAATAATGACTTATTTTTGAAGAACAGAGGGTGTCACCAGGTCACCATGTGTCACCAGGTCATTTAACTTCTTTTAAAAAATGAGACAACATGACATTTTGACAACAACACAGGAGGAAGGCAGTTATGAATTATTTTTGAAGAACTGAAGGTGTCACCAGGTCACCAGGTAATTTAACTCATGACATTTTGACAACAACACGGGTTATTCAATAATGACTTATTTTTGAAGAACAGAGGGTGTCACCAGGTCATTTAACTTCTTTTAAAAAATGAGACAACATGACATTTTGACAACAACACAGGAGGAAGGCAGTTATGAATTATTTTTGAAGAACTGAAGGTGTCACCAGGTCACCAGGTAATTTAACTCATGACATTTTGACAACAACACGGGTTATTCAATAATGACTTATTTTTGAAGAACAGAGGGTGTCACCAGGTCACCATGTGTCACCAGGTCATTTAACTTCTTTTAAAAAATGAGACAACATGACATTTTGACAACAACACAGGAGGAAGGCAGTTATGAATTATTTTTGAAGAACTGAAGGTGTCACCAGGTCACCATGTGTCACCAGGTTATTTAACTTCTTTTAAAAAATGAGACAACATGACATTTTGACAACAACACGAGAGGAAGGCAAAAATAAATTCCAATCATACTTTATAAAGCATCATTTACAGGTATTTCATCGTCAGTAAATGATTCATCATTATCGTTTGGTTCAACCTGTTTATATAATCCTTTCATTTCTTCTTTCAAAACATAACACCATGTTTGTTTACCATCTATTCTTATCTGTTTCCTATCACATTTATCCTTAATGCTCATTTGAAAGTTTTTGTCTTTCATGTCTGATGGTTTGCAGAATAGAGCATTTTTACATGTCATACCTGCATTCAATTCATCATAATGTGTATTTATCCATACATCTAAAGGATTTGTTGATAATTCAATTAAATCTTGTTTGGCTTCAGTCATCGGAATGATTCGTACATTAAATGATGAAAGGTCATATTGCATAAAATATGTTAAAAGGTTATCATAAAATTCCTTTGTGCATGAATCCATTAAATTCTTGAAGTAATCAAATTGACCCTTGAATTTACCATTAACTCTTAAAACTACATATCTTCTGTCTCCAACTTCAATTTTGACAGGGTAGACGTTATTAGTTACGAAAATGAAGTTTGCAACATTCTGAGCAGTTCTTCTGGGTTGATTCTTTTCATTAATTCTAATCTCATTATCCGTAATAATTGATTTCAAAGCGTTGAAGTTTGCGAGTCTGTCTTCACCTACATTCTTGAGTTCATTAAGTACAAGAAACATTTTATTTCAACTACTGAGTTGAAATTACCCGTTAGCTCACTTATTTCGTAATGTTTTTGCATGAATAACCAGCGAGAAGTTCAGAAATAATGTCTGTAAATCTGTTTTTACCTGTTCCCTGAAGTCCTTTCAAAATAATTGCTGTTTCATTCTTGATTCCAGGATGTTGAATCATTGATGCAATCCAGCCGAGAAGGTATTTATACACTTCATCGTTATTATCACAAATGGCTTCTTTAATGAAATCCATAAACATCTCAATTTTTGAGTAATCAAGCTTTTCAAGAATGTTGTATTTATAACCTTGAAACGTTGAGAAAACATCTGGGGAATCAGATTTAAAGCAAACACCCTTAACTGTTAATGAAGACAATTGATTTAGTAGTACGTCCCATGCTGTTATTGTTTTACCTTCTTCATTAAATAATTTAATCATTTTGAGTGACTCTTTCATGTTTGACTGAAGAACAAATGATATTTGATTCATTTTGTCGTGGATATTATAGTCCTTTTGAATGAAATATTTGTTTCCACAATCTACAAAACGGATTACACGTGATAAATCCTCAATTACTTCAGAACTGTTTTTATACTGATGATTTTCAGCCTTGCGTCTAATATCTGTTATCAAAAACGAGTCATCAAGTTTTATATCAAATGTTATTTTTGGCTTACGTAATAAAGGCAAAACATATTCATCATAATATTCCTTTTGATAAAGTTTTAGAATCTTTACCAAAACAAATGGAGAAGTCATTAAATATGCATATCTATCACGTGCTTTTTCAAAATTACTTTTTGCATTTTCTGTTAAACTGCAGAAGTTATAAACGTTATCGTAGGCTTCATTAATTAAATGATTAGGTAACGAATTAATAGCTTGAAACAGTGTGAATAATGTAACTTCTTTTTCTAAATTCATGTTTCCACCATCATTATGTACTTCAAAATCACAGATGCCATCAACTATGCTCTGGGCAAGTTTATCGTCAATGTTTACATCTTTGTTTTCATTCATTATACTCTTTATTTCTTCGTTCTTCTGTTCAACTCTTACCTTAATATTCAAATCATTTAATATATCATTCACTGTTCTAGTTAATGTTGAATCATAACTTCCACGAATGAATGAGTATGTATTGATTGGTTCTGATGCATTCTTTCGAACTCTTGAATCAGCCATAACCACTAATGAACGCTTTGAATCATCCATAGAAGTCATTATATCGATATCATAATCATTGCAGGAATAACATTTAATCATTCTGTTCGAGGTTGAATAGAAGAAATTAGTGTTGCAATAAATGTGAAGACCTCCTGAAGCAGTTTTAACGATAACATCTTTATCCGAAAGTTTTGATAAAATGTCTTTTCCAACTGTTTCTTTAAGTTCATCATTGTATGATTTATTGATATCAACATCTATAATCGTTAAATTTGAAATTTTATTTACTAATAAAGCTGTACCAGTTTTCCTTCCTCTTCCTCCATCATGTTTGAGGTAGTTATGTAAATCAATCCTGTTTTCACCAATTCTTTCGTTGAGGGTTTTAGTTTCTGCCACAACTAATTCCTCAACTAATGAATCAATAACTTTTTCATCAGAAACGATAAAGTTGTTGTTGTTGTTTGTTGCTGTCATTTATATAGGAATAAAAAAATAAAAATAATTTTAAAACTAACCTTATTTTTGGGCTGCATCATATTTCCGTCACTGTTGTCTAAATGTCATGTTGTCTCATTTTTTAAAAGAAGTTAAATGACCTGGTGACACATGGTGACCTGGTGACACCTTCAGTTCTTCAAAAATAAGTCATTATTGCCTTCCTCTCGTGTTGTTGACACAATGTCATGTCGTCAACATGACAACCTGGTGACACCTTCAGTTCTTCAAAAATAAGTCATAACTACCTTCCTCCTGTGTTGTTGTCTAAATGTCATGTTGTCTCATTTTTTAAAAGAAGTTAAATGACCTGGTGACACATGGTGACCTGGTGACACCTTCAGTTCTTCAAAAATAAGTCATTATTGCCTTCCTCTCGTGTTGTTGACACAATGTCATGTCGTCAACATGACAACCTGGTGACACCTTCAGTTCTTCAAAAATAAGTCATTATTGCCTTCCTCCTGTGTTGTTGTCTAAATGTCATGTTGTCTCATTTTTTAAAAGAAGTTAAATGACCTGGTGACACATGGTGACCTGGTGACACCTTCAGTTCTTCAAAAATAAGTCATTATTGCCTTCCTCTCGTGTTGTTGACACAATGTCATGTCGTCTCATTTTTTAAAGAAGTTAAATGACCTGGTGACACATGGTGACCCCCCCCCTCATTTATTCAAAAATTCTGTAATTTCATTAATGAGGTATGCTGAATTGGAGCTCAGGACTTTCAATCCGTGCGAAACCATGCATAAACTGTCATATAAGGCGGCATGTAATCTTTACTCTGTCCCGTCGTTTGTGTATATCCTGAAACATTATGTGTATGATTACCTGAACCCTGTGTATCGTTCCAGTAACAATTAATAGCAAATTTAACGTCATCTTTAACATCATATCCTTTACCTTTTGTCATTCCTGACCAATCCCAATATCTATGCTTATGCCATCCTGCTTCGGTTGTGTTTAAATTAACGTAATGACTATGAGCAGGTAAATTTTCACCCGTAATTGTTTTACTTCCACCGGTTTGTTTTGATGAGTTTGTACAATATAAAAAACGATCGGTTATCTGCTGCCATGTACCAAATCCAAATAATGTTGATGGATTTGTTGAATTCATTGATGTATATATTGAACCAATGGGGTAAATCATTTCAAACATTGTATTTAACTCAGTATTAACCCATTCCTTATCTGCTTTCTTCTTTAACTCAGTATTAACCCATTCCTTATCTGCTTTCTTCTTTAACTCAGTATTAACCCATTCCTTATCTGCTTTCTTCTTTAACTCAGTATTAACCCATTCCTTATCGGCTTTCTTATTTAATCCATTATGAATATTGAATTTATTATATAATATTGAAATCGTGTAAGAAGTTAAAATTGGTATTGTCATCAATATTAACATATTATTTTTGAAAATTGCTTTTTTAACATCTTGAAATTTTGTGATTTCAGACCAATTTTTTCCATCACTACTGATATTTACTAAATCACCACATCCAAAAGCAATGAAATACCCATCAATATAAAACAAATTTGTAAATCTATAATTTCGAGTAAATTTTGGAGTGAATGAATAAACCAATTCCCAATTTGGTGTTTTCTCTGGATCCTGTGAAAAATCTTGTGATAAATAAATATGTCTGTTATAACTTACAGGATATGAATACAACATACTACCTGAAACAAGAACACAAACATTTGAAGCATAACATAAAGCTTCAATGTCTCCATCAGCTTGAAAAATTTGTTCAAAACGACCAAATGGTATTGAATATGATCTATAAATTTTATCATTTTGTAGGATAAAACACATGTTGTTAATGTAATACCATTTACTTGTATAATCAATTTTCAAATCTGATGACATCATACTAAACATATAATAATTTATCCCATCCTCACTAATGAAAATTTGATTGACTTCATAAATTAGTACCCATTTATTATTAACACATCTAATAGGATTATTTGGATATTTAAATTTAACATCTTGATTTAAATTACATTTGAACCATTGGATACAATCGAATGAATAACAAGGGCAAAAATCATCTCCAACCGTTATCATTCCCATAAATTTGCCGTTATTATATTCAACATAAAAAATTCTTGGATTAATGATTGGCTCTCGTGTATCAGGATTCAAAACGGATGGAGTAAATGATTCATAGTTTTTAAAATCATTTGTTTTAAAATAATAAAGCACTCCGCCTGTATAAAATAAATACATGGTCACTCCATCGAAACATAACCATTCAATATCTTCAAATGTTTTATCTGATGATTTCATAAAATTTAAAAATGGTGGGGTAAAATAGACCTCCGATTGTTTTATTTCTTCATTAACAAATGATATATCAGCTTTCTTTGCTAACTCAGTATCAACGTATTCCTTATCTGCCTTCTTATTTAACTCATCGTTAACATAAGTTTTATCTGCTTTAAGGTCTAAACATCCTGAAACCCATCCTGTATCAGCTTTAGTTTTTAAAATCTTTGATGTCCGTTCATGATACCATTCAACCCTTTCTATTTAATTTCATTATCTTTTTCATCCACATATTCCTTATCTGCCTTCTTCACTAACGCACTAGCCACATATGCTAACTCATCGTTAACATATGTTTATCTGCCTTCTTCATTATGTCATTTAGGAAACCTTTTATGAATTCCTCATTTAAATTAAATCTTCCAATCTTCAAAACTTTAGGAAATGCATTTAATGCGTAATATCTCTGTTCTTCTGGTGGAATTGATGTTATATCATCCGTTATACCTTTAATTTTTGAATTCATAAATAAAATTTCTTTTATATTTGATATCACCGCACCACCTTTGCAAACGAATTCAAAATGGTCATTTTTCAATACTATCTCCAAATCTCCATATTTCAACCTTTGCGTTTGTTCTGCCGTCTTTGAATTATATGCATATGTGGCGTATGTAATGGTCTGTGGTTGCTGTTGTTTAATCATTTATTACGATTTAAAAATAAATATTTAATCCGTTATCTCATCAGCTATTTTTTCTATTTGAAATTGCCATAATATTTCATTCATGAATTCTAAATCACAATCAAATAGGTCAGTTATTCTAAATTTAATATTTGATAAATCTTTTGAATGAAGAATAAATGAATTCCCGGATAATTGAAATGGATATGATAAAGAAAATATGTTTAAGTTGATGGATAAAATGTTTTGTATTGATGGGTAAGAGTTAGGGTCTAATGTTTGATGTGAAAATCTCATTGGGGTATTAACTTTATCACATTTGATTAAAATGAAATTGGAACCAGTGTCAGAATACAAAACATCCCCAACATCTTTTTCAAAATTTAATATCCCCAACAATGAACGAAGACGAGGAGTACAAAATTTAATTTTCAGCGGAAATTTAATAAGGTTATTTATTTCATCAAGTTCAAAAAGTTTATCAGGTTTTGATTTAAAATTTTCTTCATACCATACGATAAATGATTCATTTAAATAACTTAAAATTGTGTTAATATCCCCCTCACTATCACATTATTTATATACATATCATACGTTTTTTCATGGTCATCTTTAATAAATGATATATAATCTGAAGGGTCTAAAAGAATGGGATTAAATTTACCACTCACAGAAACGAGAGTAACATTATAAATTCCACTAACTGTTAAATTTAATTCACAGTATTATTCGAAATAATATTGATAATTGACATTTTTTATTACGATTAAAAATATGGTAAAGCGTTATTTTCCAGTGATAAATAAAACTAGAATAAGATTACCTCAAGAATTCATAAATTCAACGAATAAGAAATTCATTCATGTTATAAATTTTAGTGTTTTCAGAAAATATGAGTCGATGTCATATTCATCATCAGGTTATATTTCACTTCATTCAAATTTAGTTCAATCAAACCCATATAATGACCATTTCATAAGATTTTCAGATGGTATTAAAAATGTAATTGATAGATTAAAATATGAACAGATTGACAATATCGAATTTTTGGAATTTTGGTTTAAATATCCCGATGGAAAAAAGATTGAAGTTAAAGATAAAGCAGATACTAAACAAAAACAATTACAATGACTGATCCGGATAGTGGGGAACAAAAAGAAATAAAACAAACGATAGAAACTGGTGAAAGGTCAATTATTATCGATTATGATTCAAAGGATTATTATTCGATAATGTTAATGCTTGAATATTAAATAGCCTTAACAAAGAATTTTTCAAGTGATATTTTATATTCATCAACTATTTTATTATAAATATCATTATATGTTAAATGAAGTTCAGTTGTTGTTCCGTTCTTTGATATCTTAATTGTGCTAATATCCTTTATAGGATTTATTTTTGCAACTGTTCCGCAGCATGAAACCTCATCATCTATGAAAAATTGAATCTTCACGTCTGAATCTTGAACATCACAAAGAATGGCGATAATGTGAATTAATGATTCATAAGGTAAAATAATTAAACCGGATTGGTCAATTAAATTTATTATTGAATCATAATTATCAGTTATGATATCGCGATATATTTTCATTAATTCAGAATTAATGTCTATTTTATATGGGTTATCAAGTGGTGCTGGGTATGTTGGATAAGTGGGAATTTCAACAGGTTCTTTACCGGGTTCATCTTCTTTATTTTGCTCCTCCTCTTTCTTTGGTAAGTCACGAGTTAATAAATTTGGTTGAGTTGCTGACCTTGTTAATTCAGGACTAACATTAACTTTAACATTTTGAATAATTCGTGATTTATCATCATTTACATTATAACCAACCGTAATCTCTGCTTTTGCGTTTGTGTTCTTTTGACTTGTGAAACGTCTTCTCATTTATAATTGAATAAAAAAAAGAAAAATATATTTAAAGTTTTATTTAGTTGTTACGGTAATATCCCAAGGTTCATCCTTGTTTGCTTATACTTTCTTTGTAACTGCACCAATTATGTTATTGATAATGGTTTGAGTTTCTTCCAGTCTTATTTTATCATTTACAATATCTTTAATCATTTCATTACATGCATTCTTAAAACCATCCGATTTTTCTAATTTACGTCTATCACTTTCTTTAATTAAATCAAAGTTATAACCTTGTTGAGAATAAAGTGGTTTCTTTATCAATTCCTTGAACGCTTCTGAAAGTGAAGATGAAGAAATTCTTGCCACTTGAATTGGTTTAAATTCTGCTTTCATTGCTTCTTTCTGTTCATTGAACACTGGATCGAATAAAGCAACTTTAAAGAATTTCTTAGCTGGAATTTCAGGTCTCAAATTTGCATATTGACCATCAAACTGATTAACATATCGTGGTAATCCATCCGGTCCCTCTTCAATAGCGTTTAATTCTTCATTGAAATAAGAATATGGATTATGACGGTATGAAATTGGTCCATCTTTACTGTCTCCGATATGTTGTTTAACAGCTTTTCCATTTTCATCAAATTGCATAGGATAACGTTCATTATATGCTTTACGTTTAGGATAATCCGTCATTGTTAATTTATACCCATTTATGACTTTAATATTTCCTTGACCATCAGTAACAAAGACTTCATTTATTCCATCAGGCTTTCCATTTGGTCCTGTAATGTCTGCTTCATGTGCTTCCCAATTTGGTCCATGACGTTTGGCATATGCTTGAGCTTCTGGTAATGTTAAAACGTTTCTCATTTGTTTAACATCCTTTTGAAGACCGGCAACAATGTGGACTAATTCTTTCATTCCGTCTGGAACTTTCATAGTTCTATTATATGCACCCTTTTTGTTTGTTCCTTGTTTTAATGGAACCTGTAGAAGATTTGCAATTTCTGTCATGTTTAATTATAAATAAAAAATAAAAATTAATTATAAAAAAGTTATTCGAATTTAATGGAACCTTTATTTAAATCAACTATTATTTTTCCATGTTCTCCTAATTGTTGATATTGTGTGTAAAGTTCATTAATGCTCATTGGTAAATTCACTTGATAAAGCATAACGTTCAACTGTTGACGACTAAAACCACTGAAAATGAAAAGGGTGGACAGGTTTGATTTAATGTTTGTGCTTAATGCTTTAAAGTATTGAACAGCCATAAAGAATGAACACTGAATGTGTCGACATTGAGTTAATAATTGATTAAAATATGATTTCTCATTAGTTATTAGTTTTGATTTCACGGCATCATCTAGAAAAATTAGTGAATGCAAAAATTCTTTATCAAAATTTGAAATAGAAAGTGTTTCAAATAATTCATCCCTTTGTTTATCAATAATTTTATCCTCTAATCCTTGCTTCTTGATTGTATTATATAACTCTTTATACATTAAAAAGTTTTTCAAATAATCTTCTGCTTCTTCTTGTGATAAATAAATAATTGGAATTTTTATTAAATGCTTTAATGATTCAAATGTATCATCTGAAGGTGAACCAGAACGGTTGATATAAATTAACACATGTGAATAGGGTGAAGTGTTAGCAATAATGATAATTTGTTTTAATATCGTTAATGTTTTACCTTTATTTTGTTTACCAATTGCTGCAGTGATTGAATTTAAGTAACATTCAGAATATGGAATTTTCATTAATTTTTCCTTAGATAGAGCATTTCTATTATCACTCAATGCTTCATTAATCATATCATCTACGTATGTATTATATACTCCGCTAATTCTTCATAAGGGGTGGATGAATTTAAATCCATTTAATCAAAAATAAATTTATAATTTTAAACATTTCTATTCATCAATATTTCATCATATGAACTTCTATACTGTGGTGTGTACCTGTTGGATGATATTTCAAACCTTCATCCGGTGTCCATGTCCAATACGTAGTCCTAGTAAACCAAACCTGAGGAGGATTTGTCACCTTTGAACAGTAAGTGTCATTTACACCCTGAATGATTGGATAAGCTTTCACTTGTACTGTAACTTGTGAGTTGAAAGTTTCTAATCCATCAAAGAATATACCCGCTCCATCACGTTGAACTGGAATAGTGCATAAGAATGAAGTTTGGTCTTTCCATGTTCTAGCTAATGGCGTGCCATCATCTGCATTCAGTGGTCTAGTTAATGAGTCCTCGTATTCTTCGTGCATTCATTCACTCCATCTAAATCAGAAGCTTGAAGCATACGTGTAAAGAATATGTCACCCACTGTGGTCATCGCTTGATCGGGGAAGTTTCTGGAATCTATAGTGACCTGGAGACCTCGAAGCATTGGATTTTCTAAAACGTTCTTTGCATTGCATTCTTCGGAAATGTTAACACAACATCTGTAACATTATGAAGAGCGTATGAGAAATCAGAACTGATACCTTCAGGAGTGATGCAACCTCCATTTAGTGAACGAACGTCAATATGTTGAGCTGGAATCATGAATGGATCTTCCTTACTGAATAAACGTGGTATTGCTTTAATTGATTCTTCAATTAAACCGTATCCTGGTGTAATGCATTTATCCTCTAAAACTTCCATCTTTGTGCATGAAATAATAACGTCATCAACTGTTGCGTCAGCAGATGTAGCGGCTAAGCTTGTAATTAATTTGCAGGAAGTCCGATTTGTTGGAATTTGCGATCATATTTATAAACATGATTCATAATCTTTTCATAATTTTCATCAGTTATCTTTTCATAAACGTAATTTTGTAAATCAGCAACTCTTAACGGGTCAACCTGACAAAATACTAAAGTATCCCTGAAAACATAATATTTCAAAATGATTTCACCAAATGATTTGGGATAATCATCGAACGCCTGAAATGCTAACAAATCATTTACCGGAATAATCATATCAAAAGTGACATCAACTTCTTCATTTGCTTTAGTGAAAACTTCTGAAGGGTCAATATATTTCCACATACTGAGTTATCATATTTTTGAACATTATTATATAACGAATGAACAAACTTTTTAACTTTCCTTTCTGATTTTGGTTTATATGTTGCAAATGCGAAAGATTCACGGGCGCAATCCATCTGAAGATAACCAGCATCACCTCTTTCGGTTTCTACTTCTAATTGTTTAAAGCTTTGATTTGATGATTTATAACCAACGAATAAACGCATGCATTTAAAAGCGGCATCACATGTGAAAGCTTTATTTGAAACTAGAGTTGCTTTAACTTTGCGTTTAATATATGTGTCACCTAATTGGTTCACATCATGAGCCGGATTTGTAATTCTTAAATGAGTTTGTTTATCATCAAAATATGAGTATCAGAGTCATAGCATGAACTTTCAAGTTCTCTATAATATCTTCTACCGTCATTCTTTGCGAATATTTCATTTATCTTTTCAAATGAATGAAACACATTTCCATTAATTGGTTTAGTGTTTGGCACTAAATAGTTAGTCGTCATTTATGATGAAATAAAAAAATCAAAATTAAAAGATGAAAATGAATTTTTAATTTTAATGAAATAATCAACTATGGCTGCAGGATTCTTTAAAAAGTTATGGGATAAAGTAAAAAGAGGAGCGCATAAAGTTTGGGAAACAATGAAGAAGGGAGCAAATTGGATATTTAAGAATAAAGAAGCAATTAGTGACGTTGCAGAACAAATAGCACCTAATGTTCCGGTAAGGGAAGTATTAAATAAAGGAGATAAAGTTTATCGTCGACTACAACCGATATTGAGATAAAAATAATATTTATTTTTCCACTACTTTCCTCCTATTTTATTAAGTATTCCTTCAGCAATTCCACCAACTGCGTTACCTGCTTGTGCTCCCATCGCTGGATTACCTGCTTTAGCACCTAATACTCCACCTATGATAGTTCCTGCCGTTTTCGCTACTGGTGCCAAAAAGTTTGCAATGGGTTTTATTATTTTCTGATGAACCCAACTTGCAGCTTTCTTAATTCCTTCCCATAACTTTTTAAAGAATCCTGCAGCCATTTCTGATTTAATATTAATTAAAAAATATATTTCATCACTTATATTTTAATTTTTATTTAATGATAAATGAAACCGATTTTAAGAATAAATGAAACAGAGGAGGAAGAAATAAATGATGTTGGTAATGTTCAACAAAAAATAAACGTTGTTAAACCAATTACTGAAATAAAAATTTTTTCATCTGTTGAAGAATTTAATGACTATTATGCTAATAATAAAAAATTATTTGAAGAATTGACAACATGTAAATTGAATAAAATGTTTAAAGTTGATGGATTCAAAATTTCAAAAATAAAGGGGGTGGTTAGTTTGAAATCTATTCCCCAATCAAGAATCACCTCATTAATGAAAATAGATGATTTAACAAAAAGAATAGAAGAGATTGAAGAAAGAATGAATCAAATAATTGATTTCATAAATTCAAATAATCATTAGTTTCTAATTTATTTTTCTCATTTATGAGGTCTTTGATTATGACTTCATTGATTCCATTCATGATTTAATCAATGTTTAATTAATCGCGGAATATCCGACATCATCTATATATAATTTCTTTTAATGTGTTTATTACATCATTTATGGTCTGAGTGTAAATATGATACAAAATCGTTCAATATTGTATGAATTCTTACGTTTACAAATATGATACAAAATCGTTCAATATTGTATGAATTCTTACGTTTACAAATATGATACAAAATCGTTCAATATTGTATGAATTCTTACGTTTACAAATATGATACAAAATCGTTCAATATTGTATGAATTCTTACGTTTACAAATATGATACAAAATCGTTCAATATTGTATGAATTCTTACGTTTACAAATATGATATCGGTCATATTCTTTTAAGTGATAAATAAATACAAAATTTACGGTTCCTTTAATTTTAAATTCAAAATTAATTTTACAACAGCTTTGTGGATCAATTAGTAAATCAATCAAATAATGTTCAAAATCAGATATTATTCTTTTTCCATACATTTTATATTAAATAAAAAATTGACACCATATTTGGAATCTATGCAAAAATATATTCTTTTTATTAATGGTAATATAGGAATTGTAGGAATAAAAACTTTTTATAAATTATTCATAAATTTTTAAAATCTGCTATTCAGAAGTATGTTCAAAAATCATTCAATTATGTGAGAATTCTTACGATTACATAAATAGTCACACAACCCGCACTCATATACTACTTTGATATTTTGAAATATATCTTTCATTTTTAAGTTGTATTATATTTGGGAACACACTATAATATGAAGTATATAGTAATACCTTCACAATTCGTCTTAATTGCCAATAATCGCTCAATTTTTTTGAAAAAATATTTCACGATGAAATTTTAAAGACAATTTAGAAGAATTTATGATGTAAGAAACCATGCTCTTGAATAAAAGTCTTGGAAATTTTCGATGAAAAATGTAAGTAAAAGTGCCTAAATTGATGAGCAACGAAAAAATCGTTGCTGAATTTGAGAAGAAATACGATGAGCTTGATGTTAACAAGAAAGATAAGATCGGCAGAGATGAATTCTACAAACTTTATAAACAACTTCAGAAAAAAGACGACATTCCAAAGTCCAATTCTGATATTATTTTCAGTGGCATAGATTTCAATAACGAAGGCACTATCAGTAAATTTGATTTCATTAACTTCGTTAAAAGTGAAATTTATTGCGATGAATTAAATCAGTATAAAATAATTTTCCGATCATTTGATAAAGATAGGAATGGAGCTCTAACTACAGATAGCGTTATAGAAATAGGCAAATTTGTCAATAAAAAGATCACGAAAAAAGAAGCCGAGACAATATTAGAAAATGAGACCGGTTCTAAAAACGGAAAAATGACTTTTCCAGTCTTTTACAAGATGATGACTGGCAGGGATACAGATCCAAAAACAGATCCTTACGATGGAAGATTGAAGTCCTCAAGTTTATGTTGTTTGCTTCTTTAATACCACTATGTTTGTATATATATAAACTACATTTTACATGATACAAAGATAACTTTTTTAGAGAGATTTTTAATTTTTTTTTATATAAATGGAATTCTTGGCCATTTCGTACCAAAATCGTTTCAATGTAATCAAAGGATCATTTATTTTAATAAATTATGTTTGAGTCGCATAAAATATTTTGGTATTTTGCGGGAGTCGTAAGAAGATAGTAAAATTAATTATTATTAAACTTTTTAAATTATATAAAATGAAAACTCGGGTTACACAAAATTATATTACCTTTTAATTTAGATACCACCGAACTGAGCCATGATAGCTTCTGCATCTTCGTCCTCAGCTTCCTTGGCTGGCTTACCGCGAGCAGCTGGCTCAGCTTCACCGGGCTCCTCGACTTCATCTCCCTCTTCCATTAATTGGTTAAGTTCATCTTCAAGCTCATCAGGATCAGCAGCATCGGCACCTGGCTGAGCTAAGATATCAGTCATTTCATTCAACTGATCTGTAACTTCTTCATTCTCTTCACGGATTTCATCGATCTTGTCTGCATCGAAGCCGGCGAGCTCTGTCTTGATGGCCTTTGTGTTCATAGCATATTGGTTGAAAGCCTGAGCAGAGAACTTGGCCTGCTGAAGTGTAATAACCTGGGCTTCAAGGTTGTCTCTCATTTGAGAAAACTTTGTAGACTGATTTTCGTACATTTTCTTCCTCTTCATGCATTCAAGGGCTTTCTTCTTGTTCTTCTTTGCCATAGCAGCCTTAGCTTCCTTTGCCATATTTTCTGCTTGTCTGTCAAGTTGTTCGATCTTCTTGTTCATCATTTCAATGGTTTCAGCATTTTTTTCACCAGCAGTTTGAGCATTAACTGTTGGCTCTTTCTTCTTCTTACCCCATAACCAGCTCATGAGAAAAAATAAATGACGGTTTGAAATAAGTTTTTCTTTCAAAAATTTTCACCGGACCTCAACAAAGTTTTTTCTCATCGGAGTAAGACTCATCGGCAATTACGATCCGAAATATACTATTTGATTGCATTTTCATACGACTTTAGTCAATATTGATTGCCCAGATGTGACACTTTTTAAAAATTTTTCCATATTAAATTTCGACGACTCTAGTTTGATCCTTTAAATTTCGACTTTAGAAAATTGAGTTTTATTATTCTGCCAATTAGATTTCTCTTGTTCCGATCAATTCTTCTTCTTTTTTTGATATAAAATTTTTCGAATCTCTATTTTTCGAACAAATGACAAGGAATCCTTAAAATATAACTAAAACATGAAACTCTAACCATTCAAGAATTTTGGAAAATTTGTTTACCATTTCACGATTAGTCCTAATTATTGATTTTGTCATCTTTAAATATAATTCCACTCAATCAAATTAATAGTATCTCTCCAAAAATAGTCAACTTCAACTCCAAAATGGATAATTTCATTCAAATGCTATACATTGGACATTCGTTATGCAGAATTCAATATATCTACATAGCATATAAAATAAAATTATACTCATAATTTATGATGTTAAGAAATGACAGCAATATTGAAGATATTTAGAATTGATATTTATATTACATAAACTATTTTATTTTTTCCTTCAGGAAAATGTTATTCCATATTGCTATTTGTTATCATCATATAGATGTTCTAGAATTCATAAGATTAATCTTTTTTTATGGTTTACAGTATAAATTGATAAAGGCAAACAAACAGCTTCAGATAGTAGAGATTGTATCATACTAAATTCATTATTTATGAAATGTTTAAATTGCGATATTGATAATAACGGTATTTCAACTTCACATGGAAGATCGAAAATAATCTCAGATTTACAATGTTTTGTTATAGTAGATAGTGATAATAGACCAAAGCATGCAAGTTTTTGCTTTTATATAATACGACTTGAATTTAAAGACGAAAAAGAGCTTAATTTTCATTTTGGAATACAGTATTCACAAGACAAAAAGCTTGACATAGATTATTTCGCCTTTTTATCAGCTATTCGCAGAAATACAGTTTATCCCCACGTTTCTATGGACGGAATCGGTGTTTTAATACGCATGGATGTATCCAACGGAGAAATGCGAATATATGTAAACGATGTATTACAGCCAGTTACATATCCAATTTCAGAGATGAGTGGATATTTTTATCTTGAACAAGAAAGTTCATATTCAATTATAGCGACATCTCTTTGTGAAGAACAACGAGCATATTTTCCACTGATGGACTTAAATATTATCGGAAGTGCCGAATATTATTACGTTGATGACTCAGTCGTCATATTCTTTGAACCAGAAGATGACGACAAAGATTTAAATTCAACAAATCACTCAATAATTCAGCGAGAACCTCTTCGATATATACCAAATCGTTCAAATTTACGATATTTCGAAATTACTAAAAGAGCATCATCATTTTCATCAGAATCAGACGAACAAAGTGACAAATATCTAATAATCCGATTACTGACAAAATTTGTTGAAAATTCAGAATGGTGTAATCATCTTGATATTAATTTCGAAGGTAAGATCACACTATTCAACAAACACACTATAAATATTAAAATTCCACCATTTGTAGTTGGTTGTACCATTGGATTTGGTATCCAAGACAACGGATTTTTTTATTACACACAAAACGGCCATTTATTAGGCCAAGCTTTCCTAGATTGCGATTTTAAGACAGACTTATATTTCCAGATGATCTGTTCATCTTATAACGAACAATATTTTCTCAATTTCGGACAATTTCCTTTTTGTTACGACAAACTTAAACCAGACAAAACATGGAGCTGCTGGACACCTAGCAGAAGCATTGTTAGTCTCCAAGGACCTCATCACTGGTACCGCCACATCTTAGGTTTGTTATCAAAATACAAAGGAGTTTTCATGTCCGAAAAACCATTGAAAATCTTCGAAATTGTTTCATGGGGAAACCACATTTCAGAAAGTGCCGGTTTCGGTCATCCTAGTAATCCAGAAGTCTGCAACATCAAATTCCTCGATCATGGCATTGTTGAAAACAAAACAATTCTTCAGTTCACGAAAAACGAAAGTTATATGAATTACAAAATTATCACAGATTCAATTTGTGAGAAAAGTCAAGAATTTAATTCAAACCGGATATTGTATCCAACAGTTATCACGAAGAACTCGAAATATTTCATTAATTTTGATTTTTATCCATTTGCGAGTTCAAATAGTTGTTTACCGTTATTAAACGGAAGTTACAAACTTCCTAATGGCAACATTGTATGTATGGATGATAACAAATCCGAAATCCACAATCTTTATGAAGATGATGAAGTTGAATCCCGCGATTTACTATTTTCAGGAAAATTTGTTGGTATTTTTCAAGGAAAATTGTATTTCAAAGTCAAACATGATACATTAGTTGCATATGAATATACAGATCCTTATGATGTCCTCAGTACTTTGAGAATTGTTTATCGAAAAGAAAAGTTTAATTTAATTTCACCATTTCTTATCCAAAATGGTTATTTTCTTGGTCATATTCCAACACCTAATGAAAAATTCATATGTTCAGTATTTGAAGATACATTTTTAATTGTTTGTGGATATCATGATGGTTGTGAAATCTACAGAACATTGACAAGTTATTTTTCAAATGATTCATTGATTTATTTTGATAATCAAAGTCACAACTTCAAAACATGTCATGATCTTCTTTTCAAAGTCAAATCAATCAAATTCTTGAGATATTCCAAACATTGTTTTCAAATCAAATATGATGACAAAACTAAGTTTGTTACTAAATTTGATGATTCTGAATCACCCGAATTTTTTGTTTATGAGATCGGGAAAGTCATTGTTCCTAAAACTATTGTTTTGTTGTTTAAACCACAACAACATCTATATCCTTCATATTATGAAGGCCATCAGTATGATTTTGCATGTTCCCTCATTGATTTTTTCGAAGGTGATGGCGTTTGCAAAGGACCAGTTTTGATCTTTGAACATCAAAAATTTTTATGTCTCTCAGCAAAGAAAAGATATCAATCATTGAATCACGACGATCAATCAACAACAGAAGAATTCTCATTTGATGAATTGAATCAACCAAGAAATAATTCTATTTCTTCACAAATGATTGAAGATTTAATGAACAAAGAAACTATAGAATTCAATATTTTTGATGAATAATTAAGGGTTCACTAACAACTTTCTGTCATCTTCTCATTACATTAGTATATGTCTAATTTAAATAACAAAAAGTATAATACGCATATTAGGTACTAAATAACGTTTTAAAATAACTTTATACCGGAGAAATTGGAACATTAAGTTAAGTATGTCAAGAAAAAAAATTGATAGAATGTCAGAAAGTTGTAAGATCTCACTTAAATAAATATGACAAATTCCAGAATAATATGAAGATACAATTCAAACTGTTAGATACAAATTCAATTTTATAAAAATCGTTTTTGAATGTCATGTAAAATCCCAGATACTGAACTGAATGTTTAAAAAAGTTATTTTAAAACAGATCGATTTACTGCTCCAAGAAATGGTGTTCTGTAAAATTTATTAACAATATTTTTGATGTTTTTCAGTTTTAATTTTTCTTCTTTATATTTTTTATATGTATCATCTTTATTTTCTTCGTTTTTTGCAGCATTACAATAATATGTTGAATAATGAGATATAAATGAATCTAATGAATCAATTGAATCAAATGTATCTGCATAATTCTTTATAGTTTGATTGACAACATTATTATTAAAGTAACAATTATCAATAGCTTTTGGTTTTCTATCAAATAAATAATTTCCTTTATTTCCTATGAATGAACAATTTGAAAATGTAGTTGAGAATGACCAACAAGAAATTATTGCATTATAACTTCCTGTATATTCATTGTTTAAATAATTACATTTTGTAAGATTAAATTTACCATTAGCATTGTACATTCCACCATCTTTTGTAGATAAAGTATTTGATGCTGTTGTGAAATTCATAATTCCTGTTCCTTTTGGATATTCAATATCATATGCAGCATAATAAGTAATTTCATGATAAGATGTATTCATGTTACTTACTTTGATATCTCCTGAAAAATGTAAAAAAGAGGCATAGCGTCCACTGCATTGTGAAACTGAACTTTCAAATGCATAACTTTTGTAGTTACTATCATAAACTGACGGAATGTAATATCCACATCCAGATGAACTACTTGAAACAGCTGATGAGAGGAATATACAAATTCGAACTAATAAATGATAGAGAAAAAGCATTAAATAAAATAAATATTCATATATTTTAAATGAATGCTAAGAAACTATCGTCAATCTTTTTAATTTTATATTTAATTGGATAAATAAGAGATTTTCCTTCATTTACATTCAGACAAATACATTTGAAATACGTTAATCCTGATCTCAGATTGAAATACTCCAGTACCACCATCAAATTTAATTTGTAAATTTATAAGAAATCCTTTAGCTATTATGTATACTGTCTCGTGGTTATTGTTTTTATATTAATGCATTAAGGGTGCACACGAGAGGATCATGTAAACTTCAGAATTTAGAACCTTATTTTTAGGCATTATCTTGGCTACCTATTTAGGCTCGAAAAGCAAAAAATATCAACAAATACAACTTGACTCCATTATGACCCTTTCATTGAGGTAGTTTTTATCCGCTAGTATTTTCCCTTTGAATCTCTTTACAATTCGAAATCAAATTCAAACCTCAGTAGAAGAAAGGAAGAATCGACTTACTACGGTTGTAATACGAATAAATACATATATTTAATTATTTTTATTTACATAATAATTGTTTGAAGCTCATATTCCAACAAATTTTTAAATAAAAACATTAAAATGTTGAAAATGTTCATATATTTTAATAGGGTTTTGGCACTTTATTGAGGAATTACTACATACATAGTCGAACTGAACTTGATATTTTGAAATTTAAATTATTTATCAAAATTAAAATTTAACTTGAAATTTATAATTATTTAGTCATATTTTGCATAATTCTAAGTAGATTTTGTAAAAAAATCAAGAAAGAAAAATTTTAACGTGCTTTATTTTTTCTTTTTTATAATAATACATATTATTATATAATTAACATATTCATAATGTTTCACCCTTTCAAAAATATAATCCTCCTCCTCTCAAATAAACGTACATACGGGTGGCCTCTTTTTTCAAAAAATTAAAATTTGAAATTTTGGGCTCAAATATTAGAGATTTTTTCAACCTTCAACGATATATGTTGTCTATATCAGACCTCCTTTCTTTTTGATACTTAACATTGTTCCTAAATCTTAGCCGTTAAGGCTGTTCTGAAAATATTTTTTTTCGAAAAAATTCGAAAAAAATTCTTAAAATTCAAAAATCCCTTAATTCCTGAGGATTTTGGAAAAAAGTTTTTACATGAACATGTGTATATTATATGAAGTATATTGATAAGGTAAAAATCAAATTTTATTGCATATTCATCGAGAAAATAAACTAACGAATCCCTCAAAATTGAGAGGGTAATCCTCCTCCTCTCAAATAAACGTACATACGGGTGCACCCTTAAAAAACATTGTTTTGAAGTTAGCGGTTCTGGTTCTCAAATTCAGAAAAAACGATAAAGTTTAATGAGAATTTTATGCTTTTCTTCAAATTTGAGACGATAATTTTTAATAAAAGAAAATCTTATTGTATGTCCTTGAATTTGTTCCCATTGTAATCGGAATATAAATTAATTTGAACGTAAAAATATTGTATCTTACAATTTGATTATTTAGAACCCAATCTTGAAGAATTTAATTTCATTTCTAAATTAATTGATTGAGAACTTGATTTTTCAAATAACCCGTACTTTGCAAATGAATCAATAGAATTATCGCGTAAACTATTGAAAATTGAATATATGATTGAATGTATTCCTGAAAACTCAAATCATTATATTAGAACCTCAATATAATAAATAAAGATATAGTTATATTTTCAATTAATCATTGTCGCAAATTCAAAATCATGACTGAGGTTAGAACTGATGTCCCAGGCGCAAGCTAGGTTTTTTCAATGTCGATGAGTACGAGATATAAAAATCTTATTGATACCCCTCTTTAGGTTGCTTTAAGAGAAGATCTCTCTGCCTTATTCAACTTTTTGGATTTTCATGGTCCGAAAATACCATTAATTCATAAAGTTGTAGCTTATTTCAGACTATTACAACTGATTGGATGTTCATTTATGGCAACAAATCCAGATGTTGTCGACAGAAAATCATTAACCTTTCGAGTACTTGATATTCTTTCCATTTTTTGGCATCTCCTGCCTGTTTCAACAAGAGAAGAAATTGAATACATTGTTATTTATTGTATCAATATGGTTTTGCTATTCTTTTTTATATACTTAGTTAATGCTGCAATTAGATACAGAAAAACAAGCCATTCATCCAAGTTCTCTACAAATATTTTAAGCATCTTCATGTCAATTGTTCCATTTTTATTAATTCCGATATCTGTTCAATATGCAGGTCAAATTGTTTCTGCATATTTCAGCAAAGAGTATAAAATTGAGCTCAAAACTCTTTTTGCAGTATCTTTTTCTTTAGTAATTGTTATAATCTATACTTTGATGATGATTTATTGTTATACAATTACACTTTCTTTCCGAATGATGTCTTTTCAAACAATTGAAGGAGGTGCTCAATGCAAAATATACATTACTTCAATAATTGTAACATTCTTTTCCTCTTTGACAACATACTTATCTGTTAAACCTTCAGTTGCATTTATGATTGTTTCTATTGTTTGTTATATCTTTAATGCATCAAGTTGCTTCAGGTGTGGAACTTTTGTTAAACAGTCCGATCAATCATTAATACTTGGTGGTTCTATACTTGGTATTTTAATGTGTTCTATAGGACTTTATCCAATTTGTGTTGATACGACATGGGGAGACTATTATTTTGCTTGCTTTTTTGCATGTTCAATTTTTATCTTCATAATGTCTGCAGTTTATATTAAAGGAAGAACCCGAAAAGACTTACAAACTTTAGATGAATTCGAATCAACATGCAATTTTGATATAATTGGATCAAAAGGAAAATTCAAACAAATTATTGGAACAGGATTCAGATATGTTCATCCTGTTTGTATTGATTATTCTTTATTTAAATGTGCAATAGACAAATGGAGTGACGATCTTGAAATATGGTCAATTTACGCGAAATTTGCATCGATTTACCCTGAAATGACAAATGTTTTGTCATTCATTGCAACAAATATGAGGCAATGTACATCAAATAAATCTTTACTAGAGTATAGAATATCAAATATTGCACAAATAATAAAAACAAGAGAAGCATGTTTCACTGCAGAATTGAAATCAAAAATTTCCAAAACAAATAAGAAATTTGACAAAACAAAGAATAGATTGAGAAATATTTAGGATTTAGTCTTGCAAGGAAATATGATGGAAATGGATTCAGCAATTAAAAGAAATATGGTCAATATGTTGCCAATTTTTCTTGCAAAATATTTATTAGAAGAAATGGATGATCCAAAGAATCCAAGTCAAAAACTAATGGAAAAGATCAAATTATTAGACAATTTCCCACTTAGTGCTTATGGTGAAACTTCTGATACAAAAGAAATTTTGCGATATTTGATTTCCCGTGTTCTTGATTACACTGAATTGCTTCTTGAATTTCATTACTATCAATTAGGAAATAAATACTTAAGCCCAGCAAGAGATATGATCATTTCAAATACACTTCCATTTAGTTTATACACAGGTGCAAATTCAGTGAACACATCGAATACAAATCTAAATAATTTGGTTTTCATGATAGCAACGCACTGCGCAAAAGTTCTTGAAGAACCAATTATTGATATAAATGTTGCTTCTGGAATGGATGCTGTTACAAGCAGATCAAATGATGTCATTACAACTCAAGTTGCAGGAGAAGCTCTAGAATTAATTGTTGAATATATAAGAGATAGAGTTAGCCATTTTAAATTAATTTTCAAAATTCTAATGGTAGTTCTTATTACATTAGTTTTAGTTATTTTCATTATAATATATAGAGTTCAAATAATCAAATTAAAGAATAATAAAGAAGAACTATATGGAATCTTCTTACAATTACCCAAAACGGTCATTTCAAATATATCAAGTTCATTTAATAAAACTAATGATGGATCAACAAAGACTAACAAAAGTAATATCGAGCTAAATAGACAAGAAGATGGAATAATCAAACTATTTTCATCAATATCTGATGGAACAACCAGTGGAAATATTGAAATATATAATGTTTTCAACCTTTTAGTTGTTCTTGCATGTGAAATTATAGGCAATGCTCTAATATTTTCTCATTATATCAAAGGGGCTGAAAGCTTAGTTAAGAATTGTCATCATATTGATTATTTATATGGAAGTATTTGTATAATGTTTTCAGTATTCTCATCGCTTTTAACAGTAGTTCCAGCTGAATATGATCCAAGTTTATCTCCAATGTCCCCAAGACCAGATGTTGAAATGGGAGTCATTAAAGATTTTATCCCTAAGATAATCCAATATGTTCATTTATTAAGATTTGGTGGATCTGATAAAGATGATGTCCCATATATTGGTATGGAAGAAGCCATTGATGTTGGAACAACACTTCTTCTCCCAACAACAAAGATAATTGCACCAACAAATATTCAAGATAGTGTTCATGAGTTTTCAAGTGAACAACAAATATATTTAACAATTGCATACTTGAAACGAATTCTAAATAATTTCTATCAACAAATTTATCCTAAATTAAATGGTGAAGTTGATGTTCTCTGGCAAATCGGTCCATTTGAACTTTATCAAGCACTATATTATAACGAAGGTGAAAAAATAGTTCCAAAGATAAGAAAAGAGATTGATATTCAGCATTTCAAAATCATTGCAATTACTATATTAACATCTGTAATTGGTTTGATATTCACATTGATATCCTTGAAGATGATTTCAAAAGAAGAAGATACTCTTAAATTTGCATTAAACAATTTAATGAGATGCGATTCATCCATTATATTCCAAAATCATAAAATTGTAGAATTACTCAGTGGAAATTATAATACTTCCAAGCATGAAGACACATCAAAAAGTATTCGATTTCATTCTGATGTTGTAAACAAATTAATTGACATCATCATTGTGGCACAAGAAATGAATAATGAAATTATTGGTGTGAATAAGTCATTTGAAGAAATGTTTAATTTAGCAGAAGATGAAATTGTTGGAACAAAAATTGAAGAATTCTTTTTAAATGGAAGATTCAAATCGGATGATAAAATAGAAAAGGTTTTAAATAACAAAACAGAATTGGTTTATACAGATAAAAATGATAATAAACATATCATTGAATTCTCTATTCAATGTGTTGCCGGAAAGAAAATCTTTTCTGGAACCGACATAACACAAACAATTTTACATGAAAAGATGATTGCAGATGAAAAAAAGAGATCTGATGCGATGTTGGCATCAATTTTACCTCCAAGTTTAGTGCCAAGGGTGCAAGCAGAAGAAAAGAATATTTCATTTTCTATCAAGTCGGTCACTGTTTTGTTCTTGGATGTTGTTGAGTTCACACCATGGTGTGGAAGTCAAGATGCTCAGTACGTAATGCGAATGTTAAATATCATGTTTAAAGAATATGATATGCTCACAAATGCGCATAAAACCATGACAAAAATAAAGTGTATTGGTGATTGCTATATGGCAGCTGGAGGAATTTTCGATGAAGTCAACCAACCAGCAGTTCATGCAAAAGAAGTTGTCGACTTTGGATGTTGTCTTATCAAGAAACTTATTGAAATTGATGAGAGAGAAAATGAGAAACTTAGAATCCGAGTAGGCATCAACACAGGAGGTCCAATCATTGCAGGCGTCATTGGAACGGAAAAGCCCACATTTGAAATCCTTGGTCCGGCAATTAATATTGCTCATGAAATGGAAAGTAAAGGTGTTCCGATGAAAGTTCATATCAGTAGACCTGTATATGAGCTCATCTACGGCCAGCACTTCAGCATCAAAGAACGTGGTGAAATTGATATCAAAGGTGGTAAGATGTTTACATATCTTGTTGATCCTTAAAATTATTTGACAAATTGTTGTATTCGTAAACTCTATTAGTATATGTATTTGAAATTGAATTTTTCAACTTGAAACACTTCAAAAATATTTTTATGAAATATATCATTAGCTATCTTTTACTCATTGTAAATATTATCATCCTTCTAAGTCCTGAAGATGTTAGTATTCAGCTCCCTACATTAGGAATATCGATTTTACGAAATAACATGTTTAATTCAACTTCAGATGCAAAAATTCGGGATTTTTATTTCTATCCTGGAGCGAATATTTTGGAAAAAATTGACAAGAAATATCGATTTCATGCTGGAGAATTCATTTCAGATCAATTTTTTTCATTTTCATACAAGCAAAAGCCAGAATCATTAGAAGCTTTAAAGTACGTTGGTGATTGTATGCTTTCTTGTACAGAGAAATGCAACTGTGATTATCCAACTCCATTTTTGCAACAACATATGCACAATTGGTCAATCGAAATTAAAAATATACCTGATGTATTAGAATGGAAGTTACCAGAAGTCATGTATTTTCATCATGGACTAAGATTTCAGCCACAAAAGATCAAAGATTACATAAAAGATAAGGATATCATAGATATTGGTGCAGCAATGGGAGATTCTGCAATAGCCTTATCTAATTATACCAATAGACGTGTTTATTCATACGAAATTTCAAAACAATTTGTAGAAACTGCCAAAAATTTGTTTAAAACGTTCAAAATAGAGAACAAAACCCAAATATTCTTGAAAGGAATGTCTGATAAGCCGAAAAACAAGAAAATTCACGACGATGCAAATTTAGGCCAAAATATTAATGTAAATCCTGCAAAAGGAGATGCAAAATACGTTTTACCGATAACAACCATAGATAAAGAAGTTAGTGAGTTAAACTTAAAAGTTGGCTTTATAAAAGCTGATGTTGAAGGATTAGGCTTAGCTGTATTGAGAGGAGGCTTGAAGACGATTAAAAGAGATAGACCAGTTATTGAACTTGCTAGTTATCATAGTTATGATGAATTTTTTGGTTTTCCACAATTATTATTTAGTTTACCGAATTATTTATTCGAATTTCATAATGAAAATGATATAATATATTCTTTTCATGAGGTTGCGATCTTCGCATACCCAGCTGAAATTTTTTATCCGAAATATTATGAAGATTAGTATATTTGTTATATTTGTTAGTAAAAATCTGTGTTTTGTATGTTTTATATATTTAATATGCAGCAATATTCTGATAAAGATCCATTCTAATATGGCGAGCGAAATTTTTTGCAATCCAAATCATCTATAACTTGTGTTAAAGCGAGTAGGACTTATAAAATACGAGTTTACTAGTTTGAGCAGAATTCTAACATAGAATCTTGAGATATAAATTTGCAAGACTTTTAGTTCAAAAATAGTAGCTTAAACTCACACTACAGAGAGTAATTATCCACTGTTGTAAAAAACTGTATTGTTTTGGTCTTATTTACCTAATTTTAATTCCGAAAAATAATAATATTTTTATTCACTCCTTATACTACAAAAGTAATTAAATTATTTAATAATATGTGGTGAATAAATAAAGATTTAACAGTGATAAGAAATATTTTTGAAAAGTAAGATGATGAAATTTAACAACATTGTTTGAGTTTGTTTGCAGTTATTTTCAAGTTGTTTGTATCATTTGGTGAGCGGCTTGTGAGCGCTGCTGCAATACTGTCGAAAAGTTCTTCAATTCCCTCTCCTGTAACTGCAGATGTATAATGAAGAGTGACCTCATTGTCTTGGCTCCATTTCTGTGCATTATCATCATGATAATCACTTTCTTTTAAGTCAATCTTATTTCCAACTAGAAAGATAACAGGATTAGAATTGGTATCTTTTGCAAGGTTGAACCAGTTGTCGAGATGATCGAAACTGGCTTTATCATCTACACTAAATACTATTATTGCAATTTTTGCATCACGTAAATAGTGAGGAGTTAATGACCGATATTCTTCTTGACCAGCAGTATCCCAAAGTGCAGCATTTATGGATTTACCATCATATTCGAGAGTGATTTTATTTTGTGTTGAATTAACTGTTGAAACTGTTTCTTCGTATTGGCCAGTTACCTTAAATTTCAAAATTGATGTTTTTCCTACAGTTGAATCACCAAGAAACACGATTTTAGCACAGTCAGCTGATATATTCAGCATATTTTTTATGTTCTTTGCCGCCCAATAAAAATTCCACCAGAACAAAATTTTAAATAAACTGCAAAAAAATGTTTTGGAAATCACAGCTATTAATATTATATCTGATGAATCGAAAACGATAGAAAAATTCAAAAAATTGAGAAACGAAAGAAAATTTTTTCCAGAAAAATTTCACCGAAAAAAGTGAGTCAAATATGTTCCAATTAATGTATAATATATGTGAAAACATCAATCACGTCATGGATTGGCTTCGGCATGCAATGGATACTAATTCTAAACTTGTCATCTTTTTGAAAATGAGATTGATCATGTAAATGGCTTTAATCGTTCTCTAACAGTCAAATAGAATTATACTAATGATGTCCCAAGTTAATTTACATCAATAGCTTCAGTAGACGAAATTATAGAACCATTTATAAAAAAGTTACATCATCTATCACAATAACTTTACGACAGCAACATACAACACGTATGCTGCTCCAAACAATAACGAATAAGTTGTTAAATTCCAAAAAAATTGTATTTAAATGTTTATTCTTTGACTGTATCATTTCTTTGTTTATTCAACGCATATTTTTAAGGGTGCACCCGTATGTACGTTTATTTGAGAGGAGGATTACCCTCTCAATTTTGAGGGATTCGTTAGTTTATTTTCTCGATGAATATGCAATAAAATTTGATTTTTACCTTATCAATATACTTCATATAATATACACATGTTCATGTAAAAACTTTTTTCCAAAATCCTCAGGAATTAAGGGATTTTTGAATTTTAAGAATTTTTTTCGAATTTTTTCGAAAAAAAAATATTTTCAGAACAGCCTTAACGGCTAAGATTTAGGAACAATGTTAAGTATCAAAAAGAAAGGAGCTCTGATATAGACAACATATATCGTTGAAGGTTGAAAAAATCTCTAATATTTGAGCCCAAAATTTCAAATTTTAATTTTTTGAAAAAAGAGGCCACCTGTATGTACGTTTATTTGAGAGGAGGAGGATTATATTTTTGAAAGGGTGAAACATTATGAATATGTTAATTATATAATAATATGTATTATTATAAAAAAGAAAAAATAAAGCACGTTAAAATTTTTCTTTCTTGATTTTTTACAAAATCTACTTAGAATTATGCAAAATATGACTAAATAATTATAAATTTCAAGTTAAATTTTAATTTTGATAAATAATTTAAATTTCAAAATATCAAGTTCAGTTCGACTATGTATGTAGTAATTCCTCAATAAAGTGCCAAAACCCTATTAAAATATATGAACATTTTCAACATTTTAATGTTTTTATTTAAAAATTTGTTGGAATATGAGCTTCAAACAATTATTATGTAAATAAAAATAATTAAATATATGTATTTATTCGTATTACAACCGTAGTAAGTCGATTCTTCCTTTCTTCTACTGAGTTTTGAATTTGATTTCGAATTGTAAAGAGATTCAAAGGGAAAATACTAGCGGATAAAAACTACCTCCATGAAAGGGTCATAATGGAGTCAAGTTGTATTTGTTGATATTTTTTGCTTTTCGAGCCTAAATAGGTAGCCAAGATAATGCCTAAAAATAAGGTTCTAAATTCTGAAGTTTACATGATCCTCTCGTGTGCACCCTTAAACGTTTTAAATCATTTTGTAGTAAAGAGATTATGAGAATTAAGATTTTTTGGAAATCGAAACAATTTATTCGAACAGAAAGATTTTAAGGAATTTGGATAGTCATCAACAGCTAATTATTCATGAATTTTATTAAAATAATGATACTTTTTTATTTTTTATCTTGAATTTGGAATTTTTTTACAAAAATAAAACGAAGAATTTAATATTGAGTACATTCTATTATCAATTTTGAATTGAATTTTTTAAAAAAACAATAATTACAGTACTGCTGAACTTTTTTTGAAAAAAATTATTTTGAATTCAATCAAAACTTCAACACTTGTAGTGCGCCAGATAATAAGTACTTGCATAATTTATTTCATTTTATAGGAGATTTATTTCTTTGTCGTAAAATGAAAATGAAAACCAAATTAGCATCTTAATCTCTGTCCCGATTAAATATTAATATAATAATAAGGTGAAACAGTTGAGAATTCAGATGCATTCAATTTACCTCTCACAATATGATTGAAAGAGAATAAATAGTAAACTATTCAAAAATTAAATCTCTAACAAAATTGTATGAGGCAATCGATCAGTAATTACTTGAACCATTTGTACAAACGAATTTATGATTTGATCTCTCTAAATTAAAGTTTTCAATGGTCCCACAAATATTTCAACAAAAATTTTTCAATTGAAATAAATAGCAAATTTGCAAATTTATTTCCTTGGATTATTAATACCTGAACCGAAATTTACCTGTAGGATAATTACCAGGCCAAAAAAATTCAAAAAACATATAAAATATATTTTTCCTTTTGATACCATCTCATTATATATTGAGAAATTTAAATTTTATAAAACGGTTATTGTAAAGATTATATTAATATATGAATATCACAACCGAAAGCCAGTTCCTCGAATCTATTGGTGTTATGTATCAAGATTTAATTACACACCTCAGTCGAGGAGTTATTTACCAAGTTTACTCACCTAATTACAAGATGAGTTTTGCCCTTAAAACGATTCCAGAGGACATGCTTTCTGAGTCAGAATTGCGTTGCTTGGAAGCTATCGATGATCCAAATATTGTTAGTCTATATCAAATCTATAAGTTTCAAGGCTTTAGTTATTTAATGATGGAATATTGCCCTAAAGATTTAGACACATTGCTCAAAGAAAAACGTTCGATACGCGGTGAAGAGTTATGCAATATGTTATTTAATGTTACAAGATGCGTTAGAGCATGTCACGATAATGGTATTGCACATTGCGATATTAAACCATCGAATTTCCTCGTAGACAAATATAACCGAGTGAAAATTAATGACTTTAGCAAATCTGTGATTCTTACAGACCCACCATTAACTTCACAACGCGAAGGCACAAAATTATATCAAGCACCAGAAATATTTTCCGAAAAAGAGTATAATCCTGTGAAAGCTGATATCTGGTCACTTGGTGTCCTCATGTTTTACATGACAACTAACACATATCCATTTCAAGCAGATGATCCTTACACAACAATAGAAAAAATTCAGAGCGGAATTTATAATGAAAATAAGATCTCAGATCCACAACTACGCTTCGTAATTAGGAAATGTTTAGATATAGACCCCAATAGTAGACCAGATGCATTAGATCTTTTGCAAATGCCATATTTCATGAACGCTATTACCAAATCAACAGATAAAATAGGAAATAACTCAGCACGTGCTCACAATTTAATAGTTAAACCGAAAATACAGAAAGGAAAAATTAATATTAGTCTCCAGAATCAAGCTGCGTTAATTACAAACAAAGCTAACAAGATACATATTAATTGCATTACTAAGTAATTATATTTGTTTTTTATATTGTTTATTTTTTTACGTTACTTTATTATTTTTTTGTAATAAATATTCTTTATATCATAGAAGATATGAGTAATTATAAATTTTTGAATTTTCTAAATCTAACGGTGAAGATAATAAAGCGATCGAATTTTTTCCGTCGTTGTTTCTCCCTTATATCGTTTGACATTATTCTCTGTTTGAATATCTATGATTACATGCAAGTTGTCCAAAGTTTTTAACTGAAATCAAATTGATGATCCAAATTTATCCGTTGATTAACAATCATAATTAGCATTTTTTGCATACTTATAGTATAATATGCAAATCCTATTTGTTAATTAGTGTTTGTTTCAATTAATAACAAACCACAAAGTTTATGATTCGATTATGCAGGATTGAGTGGCTGAATCATGAAATCCATTGTAAGCAATATTGAGCTAGCATATATTTGAAAGCTCAAAAACGACATTTAATGTTTTGATCATAAAAATATGCAAAATCACATGTACAATGATGCAAAACGTCATTGTATCTATTAATAAATAATACCAGATATAGTATATCCAATAAATAACCAAATTCAGAATATTTTGTTTGCCAATTGCTCAAAATCAATTCATTCTTCTTATCAAAGATTATTTGCATCCTTTATATCATGTTTTCTTTTAATATTTGTAACATTTGGAAGCATATCAATCAGGAGGGAGAAAAAGACGTTTATTTTCATTCAAAAATGAACTTTAGTACCCTTGCCGATGACTTAAATGCAACAGCAGATATCTGCGATGACATCATTACAACAAATCAAAAAGACCAACTCGATGCTTTAAAAAAGACAATTCAGACACTCAAAAATATAATCGAGCAAAAAGATAAATTAATTTCAACTCTCAAAGGAAATATAGACATTATTGAGCAAAATACAAATAATTTCATGTCAGAGCTACTCGAAAATTCGAAAGATGAAGAAAGAAACGAATTATTAAACAATTTACTTGAAGAGCCAGATTATAATGTTAAGTATTCTTCATTATATCAGCTTCTTAATATTGATTACGCATGCTCTAAAAAAGATAAAGATGTGATTTCAAGACTTCGTTCACAATTATTTGGTCATGCTCTTCTTCTTGTTCGTATTAGCACTCATTCTGAATACCGTAATCTCTTATTGATGGATGATTATCAAGAAAATGAAGAAATTACTGCCCAAACAAAAGATATTTTATTTGAGATGGCTCAGAGAACTGAGAGTCTTGTATCAAAAGTTTCTGATGAAGAAGTGGAGGCTCTTCCATATGGATCAATTGCAAATGTTCTTGGTTGCGAAATTAACTTGGAAGAAAGAGCTGAAGTCATGAAAGAACTTTTGGCTACAGATACACTGGATCCAAATGAGTTAAAAGATATGCTTTTGCAAGAGACTGTAATTACATCTATATTAACAAATTACTCAAATAAAATTATTGAAACAATGGAAGAACTCGAAGAAGCCAAGAAAGATCAACTTATTGGATTCAAGAATAGAGATACAGAAGTTAAAGATATACTAGAACCAGTTTATCTCAAACTTTGTAAAGCATTTGGCCAAAACAACATGGAATTTTCTTTTGACTCGTTTATTGATAAGAGTGAGCAACTTGCAGATAATCTCATTTTAGCTCGGGAACGAACAGGTATAGATAATGGTCTTTTCACAGATTACGTAGATTTAACTGACCGTGCAATCTATAAATTAAGCAAAAAATTGAAAGAAACACAAACGATACTTAAGAGACAAACTAGTAACTTGTCTAAATGCGGAAATGAAGGAGTTTGGCAAAAATGGGCTCGAAGCCTGTATGCAGGATTGATGGGTTTTGAGAATAATCCGGCGAATGATATCGATCTTCGAGTGGCAATAGAAGAAGCATGCTTGACATCTGTCGGAAATAGGAAATTAGCAGAAAGATTACAATCTCTCAGAACTCAAAAGCAAATTATTAAGAATCTTCCTGAAATTTCTAAAAGGCCCATGTCTTTCAAAACATTGTTATGTACAACAATGTTTGCAAAAAGAATATCTAAGATATCGGGTCATTCAAAGGCATATTAACGAGTAATGCTTATAAAAAGCCATACTGGTGTAAAAAGCATCAATACATACTATTAATTTAAGCACAGTATTTATATATTCGCTTTATTGTATGAATTATTAAATTATCAAGTTTTTTCTTAATTTGGTTTTATAATCTATGATGTTTATGAGAAATTCTATATGAACCTTCCTTGTAAATACTTAGATCTAAACAAAGCAGATAGAAATAATTTTTCATTGGATTAAAGAATTGGTTAGTATTCACATTAATCATATGATTTGCACGTAACAAAACTTTCTATAGTAAGGATGAAGGCAATTCTATTTTTCATGGAATTGAAAAAATCAGGAAATTCTTGGTAGGTCCAATGGATGGGAATGTGCTCATTTCACTCAACACAAGCAAGCGATAAGTACAGTCAGTATCTCAAACAAGGAAATCCTTATCGAATTTTAATTTCATTGCTAATTTTTTTTCTAAAGTTTGATTTTTTTCATTCAAAACTTCGTCTCGTAAATCAACGATCAATGATAAGGAATAATCAATATGTCAATAATCCTGCCACATATCTTTTACAAAATGTAAAAGGGAAAAAAACGTAATTTTTTGATTGAAAAGAAAAAAATGTTTTTTATTTGAAACCGTTTTTATAATTGAAATGAGCTGGCTCTCTGAACTCGATCAGTTGATTGAGAAGCTAAAGAGGTGTGAATACCCAACTGAAGGCGAAGTTCAGGTTCTTTGCCAGAAGGCGATAGAGGTATTAGCAGATGAACCTACGGTGAAATTTGTTCCTGCGCCTGTAACAGTATGTGGTGATATTCATGGCCAGTTCTATGATCTGCGCGAGCTCTTCTTTGTTGGTGGTCACCCTCCAGAAACCAACTACCTCTTTATGGGAGATTATGTCGATAGAGGCTTTTATTCTTTGGAAACATTCCTTCTTCTTCTTGCTCTTAAAGTTCGCTACCCAAGTCGTATGACACTCCTTCGTGGAAATCACGAATCAAGACAGACAACACAGGCCTACGGTTTTTACGATGAATGCCTTAGAAAATACGGAAATCCAAACGTTTGGAAATTATGCACTGATGTATTTGACTGCCTTACACTCTCAGCGGTCGTTGAAAACAAACTCTTCTGCGTCCATGGAGGTCTATCGCCTGCAATTAGCTCTCTCGATCAGCTTAAATTACTCGAACGTCGCCAAGAAATTCCTCATACAGGACCAATATCAGATCTTCTTTGGAGTGATCCTGAAGAGATTGAAGGATTTACAATCTCTCCAAGAGGCGCTGGTTATATATTCGGACCTGATGTTGTTAGCCAGTTCAATCACTTAAATAATTTGGAACTTATAGCACGTTCCCATCAGTTAGTTATGGAAGGATTTAAGATGATGTTCGATCAGCAACTCGTTACAGTCTGGAGTGCTCCTAACTACTGTTACAGAAGTGGTAATGTGGCCTCAGTCCTCGAATGCGATGATACAATGAATAAGAGCTTCAAGATTTTCGATGCTGCTCCACAAAGCGAACAAGGCGGAGTTCCTGAGCGTACTCTTCCTGACTATTTCCTCTAATCTATTTAATAACTCTATACAAGGTTCATGAATTAAATATATGAAGTTTTTTATTTTGAAATTGAAAAAAAGTTATTTTTACACTTAATATATGTTTTGTATGGATACTACGTATTATATGAGTATTACTCTATTGATCATTTTTCGTTATTTTTTGAGATTATCAACTGACCAAATTAATAGTTTTTTGTATTTAAGTCAAAAGACAATGGCACTCAGTTATTTGTCTCAAATATTTATATCTATCATTCCTCTCAAAACAAATTATTGATCAAAATCTGAAAAATATTGAAAATTATTATTGCAATATCCAGGTTTAATATTATAAGAAATGCTTTAAATAAAGAATGTGTGTTTGATTCATTGATTAAAGACAGTTTCAAAAATAATTGAGATCATAATCATTCAGGTTATAGCACTTGACAACTAAATCAAAAGATATATGTAATATATTGATACAGTTAGAACTAATCATATTATAAAATCTAATAACTATGAATGAGATATGCAATTTCTTAGCAAATCATTTATTAATGCTTGGATATTCTTAATCTTGCTTACCACTGCAAGCAAATTCTTTGTTTCATAAACAATTATTTCTCAAATCAATAGTTTAGATGAAACTAAATTAGGAATTAGGTGTTTATTTCACAATACTTCATGAACGAGGTGATAATCCAGCAATTAATATAGTATGTCTAAACTAAACATAAGGTTTAGCAATTCTTGAATGGAGTTTCGAAAAATTTGACATTTTGTCAACCATTCAAATCTGATCAAGTTATTTTCTAATGAATAATTATTTTTGAAGTATCAAAGAATATATATCTGATTTCTTTTCGAACGGTTATTGTAAATTTTTGTAAATCTTTCAAATATTTATAAATGGATATAAAGCAGTTTGCTATTAATCTTACATTTGCAATTATAGGCTTAGCATTGACCTTCGGTCTTGTAGGTCTCACAGTCTTCATGTCTCATTGGTATAGCCTTGTAAACGATCAATTAATCGAAGAAACACTCGGAAAATCATGGAAGAACGTTGGCTTATTTGCATCAATTTTCTTAACATTATCAGTCGTCACAGCCGTCCTTTCTTTCTCATTCGAATGGACAATTATTTTCTTAGGTATTTCAGGCGTGCTGCAAATACCTGCGTTTATATTGGTTTGCATCATCATTTCCTATACAACTAAAAATGAATCAGTTAAGAAAACATTCTTACAGAAATTCGAAAACGCAACGAATTATAAGGATTATGCAGGCGCCTGGGACTGCCTAGGATTGCGAGAAACTGGAACATGCAATGATCCTAATAATAAATGTTGCGATCCAAGAATTGACAACCTCGTTTACCACATCACAACTGCTTGCAAGAACTGGCTCATTGTTTTCGTTGTAATTTGGGTTGTTTCATTAATATTACTTGTTCCAATGATCATCTTCTTCTGTGAAACAGGTCACAAGGATTCTGAAAATTAAATGCTTTGAAATTTTATTTAATAAATATCTAGGTTTTTCATATATATTTATCTTTTTAAGTTTCGGCTGTTAAAATTGCCTAGTTTCGTTGAAATCATTGATTTCGGGAATTCTAATACAATTGGAGCTAGGTTTTAATTTTTTGTGATCCATTTTCAAGAGTTTTTTCAACAGGAATTGGTTACATTACTTAAAGTATATTTTGAATTCATATCTACGAATATTTCAATGTCATTGAGCAAACCCGATTAAGCAATAACAATAGAACAATAAATAAATATCCTCAAATTCTTCAATGTCGCTCAACAAGCAAAAATTATAAAAATAATCTTCAAAAAATAAACCATATTCATAATAAATCGTTGTAATAATTCTTAATAGAGACTTTTTGTTATCGTTCATTTATACTGGAAGTGAGAAATCTAAGGTTAAAAAGAAGAAAAATTTATACAATTCGGAAAAAATTGAAAAAAATTTGAGACGTTAGTAGTATATGAGTGCGGGTTGTGTGACTTTTTTTGTAACATCTATATATAGACGATGCATTAAAATATTTATATACTAAACACATTAAAAAATTAACATTAATTTTAAAATAATTTATTTTTTTATCTTTTATAAAAGAAGCTATATATAGATGATGTCAGATATTCCGCGATTAATTAAACATTGTTTAAATCCTGAATGGGTTAAACTTCAATTTAAAAATGAAGATTGTGAATTATTAAATGAATATGAAAGCCAAAATAAGCTAATGAGGTATAAATATAATGATAAAGAATATTTAATTTCATGGAATCAATGGAGTCATAATCAAAGACCTCATAAACGAGAAGAAGAAATTGAAAATAATGAAATGGAAATCATTGATGACATTCAAGAGGATGGAATTCCTAAATTTTGTAGAAAAACCTTTAGGACTAAGTTAGGAGCATATAAACGTAGAGTATTAAATCCTGAATATCTTAAACATCAATTTAAAAAGGAAGACTGTGAATTATTAAACGCTAATGAATATGAAAATGCTAAATCAAAACTGAGATATAAATATATTGGAAGTGATGAAAGGTGTAAAGATAAAGATAAAGTTTATTCAGTTTCATATAATAACTGGCACACGTTAGGGATAAGAAAACATTTAGGAGATTATGGGAAATGTTCTGAATTCTTCAAATCTAGTATATACGAGAGAGTAAAAGAAATCAGATATAATTATCATTCATGAATGAAAAATAAACTTTAAAAATTCATGTCTTACATTTTTTGAATAATTTATTTTTTTAATTCGTATGAAAATGAGTGGATCAAGATTCGTAACCGTCAATCAATTAATGGATGTTCTTTCACCAATTCTTGAAAATGTTAAACAAGTAGATGTTTATTTCGATGATTATGTAGAAAGTATATATTATAAAGGTAAGTTTAATATTAAACCTATTGCTTTTGCATTTGATAATAAATTAATTGAAAATGCAAAAATTTGGGAATTAATTCCAGATATTGAATTTATAACAAATATTAATGATAAATGGTTTAAACGAATTCCAACCACAAAAGTTCTTTGTAAATTAATGATCAAAACTGAGGAAAAAGAATTTAACGGGTTTAAATATCATCCAAATAAAGTTTCAGAACTAGAAAATGAAAAACTTCAGAAAAAATTAAACGATAGACTTTCAAATGATCGTATTGAAAAAATAAATAAACTAGCAGAAGTTGCATTTAATAATGAAATATTTGATGAATATAACCTTGAACTCAGTGATGGACTTTAAGTCCTGGGCACTTTGTGCCTTGAGCTTTAAGGACCCGGGCTCAACGAGTCATGATTTATGAAATCAATAATTTGATTTATTCGCTCTTCAATAATTTCTATTCTTTTTGTTAAATCATCAATTTTCATTAATGAGGTGATTCTTGATTGAGGAATAGATTTTAAACTAACAACACCTTTTATTTTTGAAATTTTGAATCCATGACCCTCCGGGTCTTGGACTCTGTCCTCAACTTTAAACATTTTATTCAATTTACATGTTGTCAATTCTTCAAATAATTTTTATTATTAGCATAATAGTCATTAAATTCATCAACAGATGAAAAAATTTTTATTTCAGTAATTGGTTTAACAACGTTTATTTTTTGTTGAACATTTTCACTTTCATTTATTTCTTCCTCCTCTGTTTCATTTATTTTTAAAATCGGTTCATTTATCATTAAATAAAAAATTAGAATATAAGTGATGAAATATATTTTTTAATTAATATTAAATCAGAGATGGCGGCAGGATTCTTTAAAAAATTATGGGAAGGAATTAAGAAAGCTGCAAGTTGGGTTCATCAAAAGATTATTAAACCCGTTGCAAACTTTTTGGCACCAGTAGCGAAAACGGCAGGAACTATCATAGGAGGAGTATTAGGTGCTAAAGCAGGTAATCCGGCGATGGGAGCACAAGCAGGTAACGCAGTTGGTGGAATTGCTGAAGGAATACTTAATAAAATAGGGGGTAGATAGTGGAAAAATAAATAAATATTATTTTTATCTTAGTATCGGTTGTAGTCGACGATAAACCTTATCTCCTTTATTTAATACTTCCCTTACCGGAACATTAGGTGCTATTTGTTCAGCAACGTCACTAATTGCTTCTTTATTCTTAAATATCCAATTTGCTCCTTTCTTAATCCCTTCCCAAACTTTATGCGCTCCTCTTTTTACTTTATCCCACAGTTTCTTAAAGAATCCTGCAGCCATAGTTGATTATTTCATTAAAATTAAAAATTCATTTTCATCTTTTAATTTTGATTTTTTATTTAATAATAAATGACGACTAACTATTTAGTGCCAAACACTAAACCGATTAATGGAAATGTATTTCATTCATTCGAAAAGATAAATGAAATATTCGCAAAGAATGATGGAAGAAGATATTATAGAGAACTTGAAAGTTCATGCTATGACTCTGATGCTCCATATTTTGATGATAAACAAACTCATTTAAGAATTACAAATCCGGCTCATGATGTGAACCAATTAGGTGACACATATATTAAACGCAAAGTTAAAGCAACTCTAGTTTCAAATAAAGCTTTCACATGTGATGCCGCTTTTAAATGCATGCGTTTATTCGTTGGTTATAAATCATCAAATCAAAGCTTTAAGCAATTAGAAGTAGAAACCGAAAGAGGTGATGCTGGTTATCTTCAGATGGATTGCGCCCGTGAATCTTTCGCATTTGCAACATATAAACCAAAATCAGAAAGGAAAGTTAAAAAGTTTGTTCATTCGTTATATAATAATGTTCAAAAATATGATAACTCAGTATGTGGTAAATATATTGACCCTTCAGAAGTTTTCAAGAAAGCAAATGAAGAAGTTGATGTCGCTTTTGATATGATTATTCCGGTAAATGATTTGTTAGCATTTCAGGCGTTCGATGATTATCCTAAATCATTTGGTGAAATCATTCTTAAATATTATGTTTTCAGGGATACTTTAGTATTTTGTCAGGTTGACCCGTTAAGAGTTGCTGATTTACAAAATTACGTTTATGAAAAGATAACTGATGAAAATTATGAAAAGATTATGAATCATGTTTATAAATATGATCGTAAATTCCAACAAATCGGACTTCCTGCCAAATTAATTACAAGCTTAGCCGCTACATCTGCTGACGCAACAGTTGAAGACGTTATTATTTCATGCACAAAGATGGAAGTTTTAGAGGATAAATGCATTACACCAGGATACGGTTTAATTGAAGAATCAGTTAAAGCAATACCACGTTTATTTAGTAAGGAAGATCCATTCATGATTCCAGCTCAACATATTGACGTTCGTTCACTAAATGGAGGTTGCATCACTCCTGAAGGTATTAGCTCAGATTTCTCATACGCTCTTCATAATGTTACAGATGTTGTGTTAACATTTCCGAAGAATGCAATGCAAAGAACGGTTTTAGAAAATCCAATGCTTCGAGGTCTTCAGGTCACTATAGATTCCAGAAACTTCCCCGATCAAGCGATGACCACAGTGGGTGACATATTCTTTACACGTATGCTTCAAGCTTCTGATTTAGATGGAGTGAATGAATGCACAGAAGAATACGAGGACTCATTAACTAGACCACTGAATGATGATGATGGCACACCATTAGCTAGAACATGGAAAGACCAAACTTCATTCTTATGCACTATTCCAGTTCAACGTGATGGAGCGGGTATATTCTTTGATGGATTAGAAACTTTCAACTCACAAGTTACAGTACAAGTGAAAGCTTATCCAATCATTCAGGGTGAAAATGACACTTACTGTTCAAAAGTGACAAATCCTCCTCAGGTTTGGTTTACTAGGACTACATATTGGACATGGACACCGGATGAAGGTTTGAAATATCATCCAACAGGTACACCACCGCAGCATATAGAAGTTCATATGATGAAATATTGATGAATAGAAATGTTTAAAATTATAAATTTATTTTTGATTAAATGGATTTAAATTCATCCACCCCTTATGAAGAATTAGCAGGAGTATATAATACATACGTAGATGATATGATTAATGAAGCATTGAGTGATAATAGAAATGCTCTATCTAAGGAAAAATTAATGAAAATTCCATATTCTGAATGTTACTTAAATTCAATCACTGCAGCAATTGGTAAACAAAATAAAGGTAAAACATTAACGATATTAAAACAAATTATCATTATTGCTAACACTTCACCCTATTCACATGTGTTAATTTATATCAACCGTTCAGGTTCACCTTCAGATGATACATTTGAATCTTTAAAGCATTTAATCAAAATTCCAATTATTTATTTATCACAAGAAGAAGCAGAAGATTATTTAAAAAACTTTGTAATGTATAAAGAATTATATAATACAATCAAGAAGCAAGGATTAGAGGATAAAATTATTGATAAACAACGGGATGAATTATTTGAAACACTTTCTATTTCAAATTTTGATAGAGAATTTTTGCATTCACTCATTTTTCTAGATGATGCGGTGAAATCAAAACTAATAACTAATGAGAAATCATATTTTAATCAATTATTAACTCAATGTCGACACATTCAGTGTTCATTCTTCATGGCTGTTCAATACTTTAAAGCATTAAGCACAAACATTAAATCAAACCTGTCCACTGTTTTTTCGTTTACATTCATTAATTCAGTGGTTTTTAGTCGTCAACAGTTGAACGTTATGCTTTATCAAGTGAATTTACCAATGAGCATTAATGAACTTTACACACAATATCAACAATTAGGAGAACATGGAAAAATAATAGTTGATTTAAATAAAGGTTCCATTAAATTCGAATAACTTTTTATAATTAATTTTTATTTTTTATTTATAATTAAACATGACAGAAATTGCAAATCTTCTACAGGTTCCATTAAAACAAGGAACAAACAAAAAGGGTGCATATAATAGAACTATGAAAGTTCCAGACGGAATGAAAGAATTAGTCCACATTGTTGCCGGTCTTCAAAAGGATGTTAAACAAATGAGAAACGTTTTAACATTACCAGAAGCTCAAGCATATGCCAAACGTCACGGACCAAATTGGGAAGCACACGAAGCAGACATTACGGGTCCAAATGGAAAACCTGATGGAATAAATGAAGTTTTCGTTACTGATGGTCAAGGAAATATTAAAGTCATAAATGGGTATAAATTAACAATGACGGATTATCCTAAACGTAAAGCATATAATGAACATTATCCTATGCAATTTGATGAAAATGGAAAAGCTGTTAAACAATACATTGGAGAAGGTGAAAATGGTCCAATTAATTCATACCGTCATAATCCATATTCTTACTTCAATGAAGAATTAAATGCTATTGAAGAGGGACCGGATGGATTACCACGATATTCTAACCAGTTTGATGGTCAATATGCAAATTTAAGACCTGAAATTCCAGCTAAGAAATTCTTTAAAGTTGCTTTATTCGATCCAGTTTTCGCAAATGTTAAAGATGAACTTAAACAGCAATTCCAACCAATTATAGTAGCAAGAATTGCATCAGGTGCTTTATCTCAAGCATTCAAAGATTTAATTAAGAAACCATTATATCAGCAACGAGGTTTAACTTATGATTTAGTTAAGGAATCAGATAAAAGAAAATTTGAGAAATCAGATGATTATAAGAATGCAATTAATGAATATATTCGGTCTATTAATTTCGATGAAAATGCTAAAAATCAACTTCATGAACAAATACAGGAAATAATAGATTCAAAAGTTCCAGCAAAATAAAAGTTTAAATATATTTTTTTATTCGAATATAAATGAGAAGACGTTTCACTAGTCAAAAGAACACTAACGCAAAAGCAGAGATTACGGTTGGTTATAACGTAAATGATGATAAATCACGAATTATTCAAAATGTTAAAGTTAATGTTAGTCCTGAATTAACAAGGTCAGCAACTCAACCAAATTTATTAACTCGTGACTTACCGAAGAATGAGGAGAATGAAGAAAACCATGAGAATGGAGACCCAATCATTTTATCTGAACCTGGTAAAGAACCTGTTGAAATTCCCACTTATCCAACATACCCCCACCTCTTTCATCAAACATCGAGAACCCAGGAATCTACGATTACAGTCGCAATGCGCCATATAAAATAGACATTAATTCTGAATTAATGAAAATTTACCGTGATATCATAACTGATAATTATGATTCAATAATAAATTTAATTGACCAATCCGGTTTAATTATTTTACCTTATGAATCATTAATTCACATTATCGCCATTCTTTGTGATGTTCAAGATTCAGACGTGAAGATTCAATTTTTCATAGATGATGAGGTTTCATGCTGCGGAACAGTTGCAAAAATAAATCCTATAAAGGATATTAGCACAATTAAGATATCAAAGAACGGAACAACAACTGAACTTCATTTAACATATAATGATATTTATAATAAAATAGTTGATGAATATAAAATATCACTTGAAAAATTCTTTGTTAAGGCTATTTAATATTCAAGCATTAACATTATCGAATAATAATCCTTTGAATCATAATCGATAATAATTGACCTTTCACCAGTTTCTATCGTTTGTTTTATTTCTTTTTGTTCCCCACTATCCGGATCGGTCATTGTAATTGTTTTTGTTATAGTATCAGCTTTATCTTTAACTTCAATCTTTTTTCCATCGGGATATTTAAACCAAAATTCCAAAAATTCGATATTGTCAATCTGTTCATATTTTAATCTATCAATTACATTTTTAATACCATCTGAAAATCTTATGAAATGGTCATTATATGGGTTTGATTGAACTAAATTTGAATGAAGTGAAATATAACCTGATGATGAATATGACATCGACTCATATTTTCTGAAAACACTAAAATTTATAACATGAATGAATTTCTTATTCGTTGAATTTATGAATTCTTGAGGTAATCTTATTCTAGTTTTATTTATCACTGGAAAATAACGCTTTACCATATTTTTAATCGTAATAAAAAAATGTCAATTATCAATATTATTTCGAATAATAACTGTGAATTAAATTTAACAGTTAGCGGAATTTATAATGTTACTCTCGTTTCTGTGAGTGGTAAATTTAATCCCATTCTTTTAGACCCTTCAGATTATATATCATTTATTAAAGATGACCATGAGAAAAAACGTATGATATGTATATAAATAATGTGATAACGAAATGGGATATTAACATGATTTTAAGTTATTTAAATGAATCATTTATCGTATGGTATGAAGAAAATTTTAAATCAAAACCTGATAAACTTTTTGAACTTGATGAAATAAATAACCTTATTAAATTTCCGCTGAAAATTAAATTTTGTACTCCTCGTCTTCGTTCATTGTTGGGGATATTAAATTTTGAAAAAGATGTTGGGGATGTTTTGTATTCTGACACTGGTTCTAATTTCATTTTAATCAAATGTGATAAAGTTAATACCCCAATGAGATTTTCACATCAAACATTAGACCCTAACTCTTACCCATCAATACAAAACATTTTATCCATCAACTTAAACATATTTTCTTTATCATATCCGTTTCAATTATCCGGGAATTCATTTATTCTTCATTCAAAAGATTTATCAAATATTAAATTTAGAATAACTGACCTATTTGATTGTGATTTAGAATTTATGAATGAAATATTATGGCAATTTCAAATAGAAAAAATAGCTGATGAGATAACAGATTAAATATTTATTTTTAAATCGTAATAAATGATTAAACAACAGCAACCACAGACCATTACATACGCCATATATGCATATAATTCAAAGACGGCAGAACAAACGCAAATGTTGAAATATGGAGATTTGGAGATAGTATTGAAAAATGACCATTTCGAATTCGTTTGCAAAGGTGGTGCAGTGATATCAAATATAAAAGAAATTTTATTTATGAATTCAAAAATTAAAGGAATAACGGATGATATAACATCAATTCCACCAGAAGAACAAAGATATTACGCATTAAATGCATTTCCTAAAGTTTTGAAGATTGGAAGATTTAATTTAAATGAGGAATTCATAAAAGGTTTCCTAAATGACATAATGAAGAAAGCAGATAAGGAATATGTTAACGATGAGTTAGCAAAGAAAGCAGATATATCATTTGTTAACGATGAGTTAGCAAAGAAAGCAGATAAAACTTATGTTAACGATGAGTTAGCAAAGAAAGCAGATATATCATTTGTTAACGATGAGTTAGCAAAGAAAGCAGATAAAATTATGTTAACGATGAGTTAGCAAAGAAAGCAGATATATATCATTTGTTAACGATGAGTTAGCAAAGAAAGCAGATAAAACTTATGTTAACGATGAGTTAGCAAAGAAAGCAGATATATCATTTGTTAACGATGAGTTAGCAAAGAAAGCAGATAAAACTTATGTTAACGATGAGTTAGCAAAGAAAGCAGATATATCATTTGTTAACGATGAGTTAGCAAAGAAAGCAGATATATCATTTGTTAACGAAATATACCAAAGTTTAGTTGGAACAAAAAATATTGAAACTATTGTTGGCGACTTTTCTGTCAATGAAGAAAACAAATATTTTAGATGGGAGTTTGTACAGTCCTTAAGAAATGGTATACGGTATAAACTCATTCCGAAAAATAACAATGAAATGTATGTAGGCTATATAAAGAATAATGGCACACAAGTTAAAGTTCCATTAGACAACAACTGCTACTTAAACTTATATGGAGACGAACAAAAGAAATATTTAAGAGTTTATGAAATGACGGATATGACATTGTCTAACGTAGCTCCAGCACCGTATTATTATGACTATGGTGTTGACGCACATGTAGACCCAAAAAAGCAAACATTATATTTAGATTATTATAGATATAAAAGATATAATGCAATAGAAAAAACGAGAATAGTATACTATTATGAAGATGACAAAAATAAATATTATAGTCAAGATTTTACATACCCTGAAAACATAAGATTATATTATAAAAAATATTCTGACACAAACCAGAAGAAACCCGAAATAGTTACACTATATTTTAAGTTCAAAAGAGACAATCCTATAATATCTCATATGTTTGATTTAATGAACCCAGTAGGTTCTATTTATACATCTATGGATGTGAGAGGTCCTCAAGCAATGTTTGGTGTTGGTGCATGGGAACAAATAGTCGACAGGTTTTTGTATTGTGCAAACTCTTCAAAGGAAACAGGGGAAGTAAAACAATTACGGTGAAAATTTACCTGCACACAGTCACTACATAGATTTAAGCACATCTCAAGCAGGTTGGCATAAGCATAGATATTGGGATTGGTCAGGAATGACAAAAGGTAAAGGATATGATGTTAAAGATGATGTTAAATTTGCCATAAATTGTTACTGGAGTGACACTCAGGGAGAAGGAAACCATACACATCGCGTTTCAGGATATACACAAACAACGGGACAAAGTAAAGATTACATGCCACCATTTATGACTGTATTCGCATGGTATAGAGTTCAATGAATTCAGTCCAAAAATAATTAATTTCATTAGTTTTAAAATTATTTTTATTTATTTTTTTATTTTGTATGTAAGAACAGTAATGTCGGTCGAAGCACAGACGTTCACGAACAAATCTAATGGCGAAACATTCACAAAAGGCACTTATAATGGTATTGAAGTCTTACGTAGAAACAAGGATGGTTACATTAATGCAACAAAGATGGTAAGAGAAGCAGGAAAGTTAAACCATTTAAACAGATTTCTCAATAGTGCTAAAATGCAGGAAATTCTTGAGTTTTGGTTGAAAGAATACGGTGGAGCCAAAAGTGGCTCGACCTCAAAACAAGCATTTTATGAGCTTACTAAGGGCGTTATGAATGAATTCAAAGGTATTTACATACATCCTGACCTCGTTCATTTTGTTGCTGAATGGTGCTCTGTAAAGTATGCATTTTATGTCAAAGATATTATGGACTCCATAGACAAGAAAGTTCATGAGAAGTTAGATGAAGAAGAACTCGAAGATACAGTAGAAAATGCTAAACCTTTGTTTGAAGAAGAAGTTAGAAAAATGTGCGAAAAACAATTAGAACATGAACGTGAGATATGTTATGGTTATAGAGATTCTCCATACGAACTAGACCAATGGGAACAAGAAGATTTAAAGAGAGAATTTAGAGAATATGAACTCGCTAAGATAGCATTTGAAGCTGCAGAAAAGAAGTTAAAAGTTTGGGGTCGTTTTGTACAAAAATATTGTGAGTAAATGAACCATTTATTTTTGTCATAAACGACCAAAAATATATTTTATCGTTAAGTGACTCAAAGAGTCCGGAGACAAAGTCTCATGGTTTTTAGGTTATTCAATAATTAATTATTTTTGAAGAACTGAAGGTGCTACCATGTTACCATGTTGACAACATGACATTTTGACAACAGTTCAGGAGGAAGGTAGTTATGAATTATTTTTGAAGAACTGAAGGTGCTACCATGTTACCATGTGCTACCAGGTCATTTAACTTCTCTGAAAAAGTGTGACAACATGACATTTTGACAACAACACAGGAGGAAGGTAGTTATGAATTATTTTTGAAGAACTGAAGGTGCTACCATGTTACCATGTGCTACCAGGTCATTTAACTTCTCTGAAAAAGTGTGACAACATGACATTTTGACAACAACACAGGAAAATATGATGCAGTCCAAAAATAAAGTTAGTTTTAAAATTGTTTTTATTTTTTATTCCTATATAAATGACAGCAACAAACAACAACAGCAACTATATCGTTTCTGATGAAAAAGTTATTGATTCATTAGCTGAGGAATTAGTTGTGGCAGAAACTAAAACCCTCAACGAAAGAATTGGTGAAAACAGGATTGATTTACATAACTACCTCAAACATGATGGAGGAAGAGGAAGGAAAACTGGTATGGCTTTATTAGTAAATAAAATATCAAATTTAACGATTATAGATGTTATATCAATAAATCGTACAATGATGAACTTAAAGAAACAGTTAGAAAAGACATTTTATCAAAACTTTCGGATAAAGATGTTATCGTTAAAACCGCTTCAGGAGGTCTTCACATTTATTGCAACACTAATTTCTTCTATTCAACCTCGAACAGAATGATTAAATGTTATTCCTGCAATGATTATGATATCGATATAATGACTTCTATGGATGATTCAAAGCGTTCTTTAGTGGTTATGGCTGATTCAAGAGTTCGCAAGAATGCAACAGAACCAATCAATACATACTCATTCATTCGTGGAAGTTATGATTCAACATTAACTAGAACAGTGAATGATATATTAAATGATTTGAATATTAAGGTAAGAGTTGAACAGAAGAATGAAGAAATAAAGACTATCATGAATGAAAACAAAGATGTAAACATTGACGATAAACTAGCTCAGAGCATAGTTGATGGCATCTGTGATTTTGAAGTACATAATGACGGTGGAAACATGAATTTAGAAAAAGAAATAACATTATTCACACTGTTTCAAGCTATTAATTCGTTACCGGATCATTTAATTAATGAAGCATACGATAACGTTTATAACTTCTGCAGTTTAACAGAAAATGCAAAAAGTAATTTTGAAAAAGCACGTAGTAGATATGCACATTTAATGACTTCTCCATTTGTTTTAGTGAAGATTCTAAAACTATATCAAAAGGAATATTATGATGAATATGTTTTACCTTTATTACGTAAGCCAAAAATAACATTTGATATCAAACTTGATGACTCGTTTTTGATAACAGATATTAGACGCAAGGCTGAAAATCATCAGTATAAAAACAGTTCTGAAGTAATTGAGGATTTATCACGTGTAATCCGTTTTGTAGATTGTGGAAATAAATATTTCATTCAAAAGGACTATAATATCCACGACAAAATGAATCAAATATCATTTGTTCTTCAGTCAAACATGAAAGAGTCACTCAAAATGATTAAATTATTTAAAGAAGAAGGTAAAACCATAACAGCATGGGATGTACTACTAAATCAATTGTCTTCATTAACCGTTAAGGGTGTTTGCTTTAAATCTGATTCCCCAGATGTTTTCTCAACGTTTCAAGGTTATAAATACAACGTTCTCGAAAAACCAGATTACTCAAAAATTGAGATGTTTATGAATTTCATTAAAGAAGCCATTTGTGATAATAACGATGAAGTGTATAAAATACCTTCTCGGCTGGATTGCATCAATGATTCAACATCCCGGAATCAAGAATGAAACAGCAATTATTTGAAAGGACTTCAGGGAACAGGTAAAAACAGATTTACAGACATTATTTCTGAACTTCTCGCTGGTTATTCATGTAAAAAACATTACCGAAATAAGTGAGCTAACGGGTAATTTCAATTCAGTAGTTGAAAATAAATGTTTCTTGTACTTAATGAACTCAAGAATGTGGGTGAAGACAGACTCGCAAACTTCAACGCTTTGAAATCAATTATTACGGATAATGAGATAAGAATTAATGAAAAGAATCAACCAGAAGAACTGCTCAGAATGTTGCAAACTTCATTTTCGTAACTAACAACGTTTACCCTGTCAAAATTGAAGTTGGAGACAGAAGATACGTAGTTTTAAGAGTTAATGGTAAATTCAAGGGTCAATTTGATTACTTCAAGAATTTAATGGATTCATGCACAAAGGAATTTTATGATAATTTACTGACGTATTTTATGCAATATGACCTTTCATCATTTAATGTACGAATCATACCGATGACTGAAGCCAAACAGATTTAATTGAATTATCATCAAATCCTTTAGATGTATGGATAAATACACATTATGATGAATTGTGTGCAGGTATGACGTGTGAAAATGCTCTATTCTGCAAACCATCAGACATGAAAGACAAAAACTTTCAAATGAGTATTAAGGATAAATGTGATAGGAAACATAGAAGAATAGACGGTAAACAAACATGGTATTATGTTTTGAAAGAAGAAATGAAAGGATTATATAAACAGGTTGAACCAAACGATAATGAGGAATCATTTACTGATGATGAAATACCTGTAAATGAGCCGCTAAGCGGCGAGACCTGAAGGTCTAGCTTTATAAAGTATGATTGGAATTTATTTTTGCATTAATCCTGCTGTGTTGTCAAAATGTCATGTTGTCTCATTTTTTCAGAGAAGTTAAATGACCTGGTAGCACATGGTAACATGGTAGCACCTTCAGTTCTTCAAAAATAATTCATAACTACCTTCCTCCTGTGTTGTTGTCAAAATGTCATGTTGTCAACATGGTAACATGGTAGCACCTTCAGTTCTTCAAAAATAATTCATAACTACCTTCCTCCTGAACTGTTGTCAAAATGTCATGTTGTCACACTTTTTCAGAGAAGTTAAATGACCTGGTAGCACATGGTAACATGGTAGCACCTTCAGTTCTTCAAAAATAATTCATAACTACCTTCCTCCTGTGTTGTTGTCAAAATGTCATGTTGTCACACTTTTTCAGAGAAGTTAAATGACCTGGTAGCACATGGTAACATGGTAGCACCTTCAGTTCTTCAAAAATAATTATTTTTGAATAACCTAAAAACATTCACGATAAAATAAGTGATAACAAATTTTTATTTTTATCATAAATGAATACCCCACAAGCTCAAAATTTACCACGAATCATAACAAGGGAGGAAATGATAAAAATGATGCAAGAACATGTTAAAAATAACAAACCACTAAAATTGAGAAAATGTGGTTATGCGGTAATGATGGAAAGAGAGATGTTGTCGAAGAGGAATAAAAATTAAATTTGGATAGAGTTTAAAAATTCATCTTTATTAAATTCATCTCTTCCAATCAATTTATTTATTCTATTAAATTCTTTTATTTTTGCTTCACTCAGTTTAAGGATTGAACGATAAGTTTCTAATTTTTCGATTATTTCTTTCCTCTCTTTATCGTTTTCAACCCACCACATTGTGGCTTCTTTTTGTAATAACATATTTTTGATTTAATTCTGTTTAGTTTCTTTTTATATTCATCGTCTGGACTCTTGACTGCTTCGTTGTTACTCATTTCTTACGAAATAAAAAAATTAAATATTATTTAAATATAATGGAGTAATAAAATAAATCGGAATTTCTATTAATTTATTGTCAACTTCAACTAATGCATTGCCGTTAATATATCTAACAAATTCAGCTATTGTGTCAAATCTTCGTCTTCTTTTTGTCATTGATTTATCAGTTTTTCCATAATCGAGATGAATCAAAACTTTATCCCCTTGTTTAAAATTCATGAGCCCCGAATTAATTTGTTCACGTTTAACATCATTCAACCTTTCCATTTGCTTTCTAATATATTCCCATTCTTTTGAAATATCATTTTTCATTTCCACCGGTTTCATGTTTATTGTTCTATGCCATGTATTATTGTAATAATATACTAACTGCTGTATGATGGAGTCATGATTTCCATCCCAGTATATCTGACCATTAACCCCTAACGCATCTCTAAGAGTTCTCATTACCGCATCAACTATTTTATTATGAAACGTATATGGAGAGGATGAAAAGTAAAAATTAATTTGTGGGAAATAATGAGCCATAGCTGCCTGAAATCCTTTATCACCATCACCCCTTATATTATCTACTCTTTCATGATCTAGTAAGTATTGAATAGCTCTTCTTGTTTCCTGTTCTGTTTTCCCTTTCACCGGAATGCAATATAAATATCTGGTGTTAATGTTAATGGCAAATAAATAAGTAACGTTTCCTCTTGAATATTCTAAATGATCGATTTCGTATGAATATGGATATGGTGCAAATGAAGGGCGACTAAATTTTTCCTTTAACGGTTGAATTTTTGGGTCAGTTGGTTTATTTAATATTTTGAAATCCTTTTTAAAATCTTTTTGCTTCTTTAATGTTTGAAATGGATATAATAAAGTGAATGATGAAGGATTAACTGAAGGAGGAGGAGGTACTGTCGTTGGAGGGTTTGGTGTTGCAGGTGGTTTAATTTTATCTGCTTTGATTTTGGATTTCATTCCCCCTTCATTAATTCTGGATGTATTCTATTCATTTGTTTTAAATATGCTGTATATAAAGGTTTGATATACTTTCCCGCTTCGAGTTTATGTTGAAGGATGAATTCCAAAAGTTGATCTTCATTTAAAAGTCGGGCTGAATATGGTTTAACTAATGAATCATAAATTAAAGCTTGTGCTTCATTTATGGTCTGAAGGACCTGGGCGTTTTGCACCTTTTGTTTTTGTTCCTTTGGT